TTCCGTTTAGATGCCAATATACCAGTATTGAAGGCATCTTTGTTTGTTCGTAATTTACGTTCATTTTTTCATTATCAACGATATTACTTGCGTTGTACCAAGTATAATTAATTAATAAACAATAAATCAATAATTCAGTATCAAGGGTTTTTGGTTTTATCCATTCTATGAGGAAATTTAAAATTTTATTGTTAGCACATTTCCTATTTTTTTTTGTCAAATATTGGTATGGTTTTGAATTAGATCATTGAAGCTAGTAGCTACATTTTCATAATGTGTGTATTATCAATTTATATTGGTTTAGGTTTGTGTTCAACGCGATCTGAACAACTAGTAGATATTGTTCATTTATTTTTCTTTACAATTACTCACCTCGCGGTTTTAAATGCAAAATGACACTCAAAAACTTAATCCCTGATAATTGACATTAAGTTTTGGCCCAACTAAACGAGTGCACGTAGACCATGATCATAAAATTTAAAATCATTGAAAAACGACCTATTAGCTCCACAGGTAATTGTTGGCGTAAATTAATTAAATAAGCTTCATTTAATTCTTTATCAATAGACTTGGGTTTTATTTTAGATTTTTATCTCTGTTAACAAAATAATTTTAATACACCTAATATCTTAACTTTACTTTTACCAATCTGAAATTGAGTTTCAAGTGTTTTGACCGTTTGAGTTTGAGTGAGTTCTTTGACAAGATTCGATTTGATCTTATTAAACACTGCGGGCAAATAAAATGTAGTTTTTGCCAGATCTTCGCTTGGGATTTCAAATATTGAGTAAATTAAAGTGATAACTCAATTGACTATGATGAAACATTAAGTAAATATTTATACTTTCTGCAATGTGATTCACGATTGTTATTCACAGTACCACTGATGACTGACTGATGTAAACAATTATCTACTGGATGAATTTATCAAGGTGCTACGAATTTTATTGTACTACGTCTAAATTTTTTGACGTAGAATGAGTCATAATTTTTTTCTACATTTTCATTACTCAGTGTAAAATTGATGTAAACATGCAATTCTACAATGTGTAAAATATATTTCAAGTGTCATACTCATAACTGCTTCATTATTTTACATTAGCAACATCAACATGTCACAATTATGTCAGAACTTTTGTTGACATTTCCTTTTGAATAATTGTGAAATTGTTTAACTGAGAATATTTAATTTGGGTCTGATTTTGTTCTCTTCTATTCTCTTGTTTGTTCGTTCTTTCTTTCGAGGTGACTGCCATCTCGTTTAATTTAGGTTCTTGCGCATATATTTAATGATCATGATAGTTTGTTGGTTTTTTACTAATGCAATAATTAATTTGTTGAAACCTATATAAAAGTATTTTACTAGAAAAAAAGGAACGTGGCCTCTTAATATCTGATTGACATATACATGATCTCTTGTACACATTAGAACATTCCCTTAAGGTCCTCCATTCGATGCAAACAAATCTTCCTTCCTCCGAGCCTTTTACCAAGCAAGGTTAGGTCAGCTTTAAGTCTACCGTGACACGGCTGAACTTCGATTGTTTAAGCGGAGCAACTGCCATCAGACCTCCACAATCCAAGTACTAGGCAAAATCGAAGTTCTTTAGAAAGGCTATTGTCGGATTTTTTTTAGAGCTTCAATTACCCGTAACGATTGCTACAGATGTTCGTATAGCAACCGGGACCGACGGCTTTACGTGCTGTCCGAAGCACGGAGGGGTTTTAATGTGTTAAGAATAGATGGGTCACCAACCCATCTATACACTGACCTGGATAGGATTGCTTAACTTCAATGTGTTAACCTACTAGTCACTACTTAGCTACGAGCCCCTCCATGCAAACAAATTTGAATGAACAAAACTCCTGAAAAGTTATATTATAATAGCAAAATATGGTGAACGTGACCTTGTTACATGATGAAATGAATTTTTTTTGAAACTCGTACAAAAGGAAACGGAGCAAATTTCACAAGAGCTAAAAAACTAATTGTAGATGAAATTACCTTTTAATTTGAACTGAAGCGAAACAACATCAAGGTTTATTCGACCATTTCCTAAGTACTAGGGTGTCTCAGTAAGAGTGCACTTTTTCATTTTAAAATAAAAACATGTATTTTATGAAAGAGTTGTGATATTTTTATTAGATTGTAAAGAAGACATCTTCCAATTAAATATGGAATAAAATATCCGGGAAATGACCGATGACGCGCTGGATCTCGGATTTGAGCTCACGAATTGTTTCTGGTTTATTCGCATAAACCCGAGATTTCACTAAACCCCGCACCATCTTGGTGGACAGTTGACATCAGAATTTTGTGAGATAATGTATTCTGGAAGTCATTGCTGCAAAAAGTCGATTGTTTATGCGCGGTGTGGTAGGTGGCGGCGTCCTGCTGAAACCACACGTTGTCTCGATCCATGCTGGCCACAAGAACCGTTATCATATTCCTGTAACGAATGTCATTCACAGTCACTGCAATTTCGTCCTCATCTTCAAAAAAGTAAGGCCCAGTCACGCTGCCTGACCGACAACAGTTGCTCGTTGTGGGTTTGTTTCTCATGGATTGCATAATGATTTTCTTAGCCCCAAATTCGACAATTATGTGTATTCACGTAGCCATTCAGATGGAAATGCGCTTCATCGGAGATGACATTTTTCGAAAAATTGGCATCGACTTAACTTTGCCCCATTACCCATTGAACAGTAATGTTTTCAAGAGACCGACCGGTACGTTGACGCAAAGGATTCTTAATATCCATAATCGACCCAGTTTCTTTAAATTTTTTGACCGCTCTTCGATTGGTTTTAGCGTAACATTACCCATTTTTGTAATGAGTTTTCACAATTATAACGCCTTCTTCTTTCGAAAAGCGCTCCATTTTTAATAATCGGAATATACATAGGTGACAACTGTCAAATTTCAGAGTTGACACTTGCACGTTTTTAAATTTAAAAAGTGCACTCTTATTGAGATACCCCTTAGAAAGGAATTATCAATTGCTTGCACAACTAATGTTAATTTAGCAACTTCTTTCGTTGTTCACACTGTCAAAACTTTTCACTTTTATGTTCAGAGAATCCAATGTATAAGTGTCACCTTTAAGTGAATCTCCAGACATCTCAGCTAAATGTTATTACGAAAGTAGACGATGTTGAGCTGCACAATGGTTAATACATACTTGTGCGTGACTTTGAGCAATACAATGAAGTTCAACAATGTTCATACTTTATGTTTATGGTTACCCAAGTACTATGTTACAAGTTGAACATGCCTCGTGCGTGTATTTGTCACGTGTCAAGCTATAAATCTGTGTTTTGCTAGTATTCGTCTATCTAGTACCATTGCTATGCCATGCCAGGGCTATTGATAGAATAATATCATCCTGGTACCCTTGCTGTAGTGTACTCGTATATATAATGTTAAAATTTATCCAGTCCAGCAATTATTCTAACTCTATAGAGATTTGGTGGTATTAACTTTGGTGACTTAAACCAAACCGTTTTTTTCTTTTATTAAAAAGTTGGCGATTTCTTCCATTGCTTCTTAAATGTAATACTTATATCGACTACACATTTTCCTAGGTCTAGACATTCAGACGTTAAACTAAATCGTCTGCATTGTTGCACATACATACAACTATGGAAGTTTTGCTCCGTTATCGACCGTCGCGTCTAGCTTTCGGACAATGTGCTCCCCTCTTGCTTCAACTGCCGTTTCTTTAGTCATGTCCATTTTAATATGTCATTGCTCAGATTTTCCTTCATCTTAAGTGTTTTAATGCTTCTTCATTCTGTTTAAGTCTACTGATATGTTTTTTAAAAACTACTTATATGAGAACTTATTCTGAACTCGCGTAAAGTAATACATTCAATATCATTGAACACTTTCATAAAAATATTTATTATTATGCGATGTTCATAAATTATCACAGAATATGAGTACATTCCTAAATCTGCGAATCTTTAGCAGATAATAGGAATTGATATCTACTGTTGATGGTTCATCTTAAATAGTTAGAATGGGTAATTTACTTTGCTGCTTTTGATAGATTCTGCGGATTGGACCGTATTCATAATTAGGAACAAACAACGATTAGGTGCCATCTTGCATCTCCTTTCCGATCATAGAAAAATGACTCTTCGCATCCTTCGCGTTATTCGGTGTACTTTTTGGCTTGTTACCAATTTTATATACCGTTGTGCCGTCTCCTCGATGAAATTTAAAGGAAATAGCTAATATTCTAGGTGCATTTCAAAATATTTAAGAAAATCACGAGCTGCTAGGCACTTAGCAGAACAGTGAGGTTTAATCGTTGCCAATGTTTTGCTTTGAGATTATACATTAAACACGATTGTAAATTTAAATGTAAACATAATGACGTTGCATATGTAAATCCCACGCCGGCGTTATGGTTGCCAACATATCGTACGCCGTGACATTTAAATTAAACAAGCTGGGTTATCGATGTTGCTCCACTTCGTCAGTCGTTATTGTTCTAAATTGCGACAAAAAGTGTTTTCACATAAAAGTGCATACTTGGACCTTATAATTTGTAACATGCTAAACATTAGGAGCGCAAATGCTTTAGTTCTCTATGTGATGATCGCTCTTTACTCCGTCGTACAGAATTTGCTACAGATGTTCTGTGATTTGCAGTTGTTTAGGAATGTGTTAATAACTGTGTAAATTTATCGTGTCGCTCACATCTTTAATACACTTCTAAAAGGTATCCATTACAAAGTGGATCACGAGCACAAGGAGACAAGGACATCAAAATGATGTGTGTGTGTGTTGATCAATAGGTAAATTAAATAATTTATCTTGAACGCCACCTTTCCATCGATAAATAGTAAAATGGGACAATTAATCCTTATTGACACTAGTAATATACTATTCCAAAAAAAGTTACTATGTGCTTAGTGTAAACAACGCCAATGAGTCACCATAGTCATTGGTGAGTTGTATAATAAATTAAATTTTTGTTTGTTTGTTGCAGCTGGAGATCCTTTCTGTGGCGACATTGATGGAGTTCCACTTGGACAGCGCGGAGTACTGCCAGGCTCAACACAAATAAACAAGAGGGCATTTCGTGCGACCGAGGGAGAAGAGCGTGCTACCGCTAGACCCATGGTGCCGGGAGCGCGTGCTGAAACAACGCACCCCGCGCAATTTTTGACGTTCACCCACCCACAGGTAACGGAATATACTAGCATAGTCACGTTCACCTTACTCTCTCTTTATCCAGGCGCCATATTGTAAATGTAGGTGGGGTGAACCGAAGCCGTCGGTCCGATGCAATGAGCTATCAGTTGTTATCTGCTCTTGACCAAGTCAAGAACGTGATACTGATAAACCTATAAAATATACGTGTTCTAGCTGAGCAGGTATTTATCGGAATAGTCAACAATAGGAGTGTTCGGATGGCGCAGTGTTTACAAATTGTGTTATCACGCTTCTTTGTGTATGGAAGTGCAAATTGCGGGACCACGTCCACAATTGACATGTTCTTGGCTCTGGATCAGTGCGCAAATTCCGCTGTCGATCTACAGACATAAGCGATGAGAACTTCAGACGTCCACATGACCGAGACTTCGCTTTACGCCGAACACTATTTTTAGAGTCCATTTTTATTCCACTTCAGTCGCTGCTCTGGCTGTGACGCAAATACGTTTTAAAAATGATATTCGTAAATCGTGTTGTGCTGCTGTCTGATCCACTGTTATTTACAAATGTTATATTTTTGTTGCAGTTACCTTAAAGAAAATCCAGTGAAAAAAGAGCATATCGTTCAGTTGCCGAAGTTCGCGCATTAACAAAAACTTATGTTTTTCGCATAATTTCTTTTAGTTCATTTCCACATTCTGTACTTTTGTTTGTTCGTATCCGAATGCGATCAAGTGGTTGAAAGCGACATCCATGCGGGTGGCTCTCATTATATAATTGGACCCTTTCTAAACAAAAGTAAGGAAACTGTCGTGTGTTGTGTGGAAATAGAGTAACAGTTTGTCTGTTAGACTGTGACGGACCGTGACATCTGTCTCCGACGCGTGTGTTGTGAGTTGACCACCTCGGCGCGGTATTGTCGAGCGAAACAGACGTAGAGTGCTGACTTCAAGAGTGACAAGGAGAGAAGCGAACCCGATTATCATGAAGCAGAAAGATATCAGGCCGGCGCCCTCGCTAATCGAGTACAAGAACTTGCGATTCCTCATCACCGACCGCCCGTCCGACATCACCATCCAAGCTTATTTACAGGTAACACATTGTTACATTACACATTTTTATCTTGTTAATATACAATTAAGCATCTTATATAAAATTACAATACTGTTTCTGCACTTTTCGTACGTTATGTTACAACTTTATTTAGTTGTGGGGCATCTAGTTGTTGCTTACCTGTAATCGTTTAACATTTAAACTATCAAAACCAATGACTAGATACATAACAGTATTGTGTGATAATAATAATTACATATGTGATTAAGTTTTTTTGTTAATAGGATAAGCATTAATCTCGTTTCTGAATAGGAAAATAAAAGAATTAAAAACTGACAATTAAAAAAGGCTGTTTTGAGAATGAACTCAGATGAAAAGAGGAAACAGTCTGTGCTCGGCAAGCTGTCTATTTATTTCATGGTGATAAATAGAATTTACAGGAAGGATCGATTAAACCGTTAAATGAATCGATGTTAATTTCTTAAAATGCTTCCCACCGTTTATAATAGTAGTTAAAGTACGAGTACGATTGCATAGAACGATACGATGAAAAAATCATCCTCACGAGGAATTTGAGTGATACTTGTATTTAAAATAAGTATAAGTACGAGTAAATTAAGCAACAATACCTGAATGTGTTATTAATTAAAAAATATACCTGTGTAAAATTTTATGTAAATAATCAAAAATTAATGAATTATGGTGGAATTTCGACAACTATGTATAGTATAGGTATAATAGTAATATGTTAGCTGGGCTTATTTTTTTAGGCTTTTTAATTACTTGCAGCAGAAAGTGCATAAATAAATATCTGGGCAACCGAACAATCGTGTCTAACCAATATTATTATAATAAACAGGAGCTTCGGAAGCACAATGTGTGCACGGTGGTGCGCGTATGCGAACCGAGTTACGATACGGCGCCGCTGAAAGCTGAGGACATCGAAGTGCGTGACCTCGCCTACGACGATGGTACCTTTCCGCCAGCCAACGTCGTTGATGAGTGGTTCGAGATCCTGCGCGACAAGTAAGTATAAATAGATTGAATACACTACGACTCAAGTTAATTTACATACTAGCTTGGACTTCCTGTCAATTCGAGTTAGAAATATGCGACCCTAACGTTTTCGAGCTATTTTTTATTACTTTCCATCCGTATAAGCAGCATCTTCATCTATACATTATTTTTCCTCTTCAAAATGCTTCTTTCCAATTTTTCCATATTTTCTTCTCTATGTGCGCGGTTGGTTCATAGGTTTGCTCCATTAGGATCAAATAATAGTTTGCAAAATGTAGGCGCTTAATACGCAAGCCAATATATAACAAAGAGTTCTTAAAAATCGTCTTTAAACAATAAGTCCCGATTTCCAGAAAGCCTAGTAGGTTCCTTGTAGTCCTGAAACTCGTAGAAGTGTACAACGTTAAATTCTGTAAATTGAGTGGTGCGAAGATTTTCATAAATCGCCTTGGCCTATTCCTACCCGCCTTGTTAGAAAAATAAAACTACATAGCGGCTACATAGAAATAATTTAAAAATAGATTGCTGACATCATTACAGTGACAGATGTTAAATAGTAACAGTCCGAAAGCACGTATTTGACATATAAATTATTAAACATGGTGATGAAACGGTAGGACGTAAGTAATGTATGACACTATATACGGTTCCGCGCGTCCAAAACTGTCTACAAGACTCGCTGGCCAGACATATTTCTATAGATACTTATATTAGAACTCTTTTGTGTCTATATGCCTACTTTATTAGTCTAGTAAATGCCATAGAATGTACGCAGTTGATTGATATACCTAGAATATTAATAGTCACCTTGAACTTGATAAAACGATTGATTTTAATGGTATATGTCGATGGGTTACGTCGACGGTCTTAGAAATATAGTGTTTCTGTTGCTATGTCATTTTACTATAAAACAGGATTGGTCGATGTAAATTACCACGATGATTTAGAAGTCAATAAACCCATCATATCTTGAATGTTTGCTTTCCGGTTGTTGGGCTTTCGTTAAAGAATGCGTAATGGCCCTAAAAGCTAATATTGCATAAATTTGAGATCGATTACAAGTCGAATTCTTAGCGTTGTCATTGAAAAATTACATTATACTAAATGATGATCTACCTATTGATGTAAATTTAATGCATCTTTTATTTGCACATTATTTATTACATATGTTAATATTGACCAGGAACACCTTTTTCTAAAAAAAAAGCCAACAAAATAACATTCGACTCCATTTCTTGGTTTAGTAACAGATATATGGCCATTTTTGGAATAGCTGTAAAAGATTTTTTTTTGTATTCGTAGGGCCCAGAATAAGCCTGAAGCAGCAGTGGCTGTGCATTGCGTGGCCGGCCTCGGTCGGGCGCCCGTCATGGTCGCCATAGCGCTTATCGAGCTCGGCATGAAGTACGAGGAAGCCGTCGAAACCATCCGAGAGTAAGTCCTACTATTATTAACTAAGCTGCTAATATAAGCTGTTTATGTTGGACTTGTGCCCATTGTGTACTAGCTCCTCATGCTATCTTTGTACTCCTGATCGCCGTAGGGATGTGCTTTTATACTTCATTCAATTTGCAATAGACCGATCCAAGAATGTTGCATTTATTTAAGTTGCTGAATATTAATTTAAGTAAAACCTACTACTTGTTAAGAAGCTTAAACATATTGTCAATGGTATATGTGTACATGCTTGGCTAATTATATAATTTACGTACAGATTTTATTTTAAATTGTGCAAACGATCGAACGAAACGTTGTGCATATATAACAATTTTCTTTGTAATAATAAAATTTCATTGAAACTTTTGAAATTGAGAAATCAGTTGTTGCATTTCTGTGGTATATTAAAAATATATTTGTTTATTAATACCCTTAATTTGTTTGAATGTTAGTTATTCCACAGGCCAGGGGCATGTGTCTGGCCTGGTCGAAAAATATGTTTTAATAATTTTTATTGAAACATATTTCAATTTGGTTAATGTAAATAATTACTTAACCTATACCTTTATAGTAACAACCTAACGGTTATAGGTAAGTCTATAACCATCAGGATGTTATTATAAAGGTCGTACGGCACAAATAAAAACTTATAAGGAAAAATATATTGGTATGTGCCAACTGAAGTACAGATAAATCATGAAAAATTACTCTTTATTTGGTCGATCATTGAAATAATAAAATAGTTATCGAGTACAAATCTACAGAGGAGGAAAAAGCGTGATATATTTTTATTATCTTGACTAATGGTAATATAATTTTTCCAGTCAACGACGCGGCGCAATAAACGCAAAGCAGCTGGTGTACCTGGAGAAGTACCGGCCCAAGTCGCGGCTGAAGAAGAACGGGCACAAAGGCAACAACTGCTGCGTGCAGTAGCCGCGACCGTCCGCCGCTCAAACAGCGAATGTAGCTCTGCTTTCACACACACACTGACACACGGGAGCATTAGAAATCAACCAATTAACTTTTTTAATTATTCTAGTGTCCATGTCGCCTCTTTTTGACGACCGTTTTCTTTTCTGTTGTACTGGGGAGTCGTAACCGAATTCTGCCTGACGCTTCGATGGCTGGAATTAGCACATTCCTTTTGAGTTCACCTTGACACGACTAAGAATTTGGTTATGATTCGATTCTTTACATCTTCGAAGTGTTTATCTCGAGTTTTCTATGAAATTTAATTGAGAGCCTTATTGTAAGCTAATGTTGGTATGTTGAACGTAAAGGTGGTAATAACCCTCGTGCTGTAATGTGTATTAGTGAAATATGTTAATAGAAGCGAGCCACGATTTGTGTTCATAGTTGAAACAGTTACTCGGGTATGCATACATATATTGAATCATAATAAATTTCAATATCCATAATAAATGCAAACCAGTTAACGTCACTATTAGGATATCTTTCCGTTTATATTGTCGTTGTGTGGTGAAATCATGTTTTCCTATTATTTTTCTTTGTAGACTTATATTATCTATATAATAATAATAATAATTTGAGACATAATAGAAAAATGATTATGGTTTTGTGTTTCTTAAGACAATTTGACATAAAATTATAATAAATGTTGCTTTGTCACTCACATTTAGAGAACCATTTTTAGTTGAATGATGTCCACTATGCCTAAGTTACTTGCGAGCATTCAGCTTTTTGACTAATTACAACAAGTGATGAAATTCTAATTAATTCAATATAACTTGACTCACCGAAAAGTTCCAATGAAGAAAATAGTTCTTTGATATTATTTTTCTATTTCTAATTTTATGAAGATTATTATCGAAATATATGAGAAAAGTGTAACTACAAGAACTCACATTCTTAAATAAAACTATTTATAAGCAAATTGATGTTTTATTTTAAATATACTGTTTATAAAATATTTTAGCTTAAAACGTAACCTAACTGAGGTAGAAATACAGGCGTATTTGAATAGACAGTACTCCTTACAGTAACTAGATTTAAAATTACTAAAATTTGTAAATTGACCTTCAAACAATATTAGTAAGTAGGAAGCATAAATTCAGGGCCAAATATACTATTCTGCAAAATGCTTGCAACTCGCAATGTGGGATTGTTCCCTGCTGCTATATTTTTTCAGACTGCTAGGTTACCTTCCATTGTGTTCCATACAAAACTGAGCAGCTAATGTTATTCTTATTGTTACAAATTTATTGTAACAGTCTTTGAAATGATGCAAAAATGTGTACAATGACCGACAAACGGAGGTAGCTTGCCAAATGTCAATGCACCTTTTTTGTTCATAGTTCCTTATTCAGTAAAGGTTTTCTATGAATTCATTGTTATGTTAAGGACAGGTAAACTGCATTACTGCAAATGACAGTGCCTATGATGTATGGCTCTAAACACAAAAATACGAATTCAGCTCTAAGAATATTAATGGTTGCAGCTATCAATAAGACAGCAATCCCTATTGCAAATGGCATCGACTGTTTTTTTTTGTGTATGTGCATTGTAATAATTCCTATTTTTGTGTATCAAACCTTAGAGAAAGTTTACTTTTTTACACTTTCTAGTATTTCAATATTTCAAAGATGACATTTTTATTAAAAACAATACCTACGTTAATTACATGCATAAATGGTGGACTTAAACGTAAATTCTTTAATTGTAGACTAAAAATTGTTGGCCCCTATTAAAAAAATTAATGACCTATTGATAAACCCACAAATCTTTATCAATATCTATCATTTACAAGTAATAAGTACCTATCATGTAACTCTAAATATACTCCCTAAAAGTAGTGTGCAACGTTTAAACAAAAAACACGTGCACAAACAACATTTATAAGACGGACTAATTATAGCTTATAAATAACACGTATTTTTATTGCACTTGACAGATCAACAGTAACTTAATTATTTATTTGATAATTTCTTCGACACTTTCTTACTTCTTAGGTACATATTTATGTACTTTACCACCGTATCTAGCTATAAAACTTTTGATATCGAACTTCCGCTTGCAACCATCATAGTTCATGTATCGTATTTTGCCGAATACTGATCGTTCCGCCCAGCCCTGGTCGTGTATACCGCAGACCGACCACATACAACCTGACAAAGAAAGATTAAACAGATATAGATAAATTGTATTGCTAGACTATAAATAAGCTAATTAGCATAATAGTAAGGCGGGGCTAACATCCCTGAGAGACCTTCGTATCTGAAGATTACAATGACAATTGTCATTGTAAACTGACTGAAATTGGCAGTCCACCACTGTGCGCTTTTCAAAAACCTTTTTGCCTCGCCTGTGGTATTTCCGGACCGATACAACCCTTAAACCTTCAAGGAAAGACTCGCTGAGTTGCAGTCACGTTCCATCAGATGACATGTGTGGACACTCACTCCAAGCAAATTCCATGAATTAAGTATTAACAAATTTAAGTCTTTAGTAAAACTATGTGAAAAGGCGTACTACACGATTACAGATTATTAAGATGACAAATTTGCTTGGGATTGATGCTGCTCACTCCCACATTTACGTTCCCATAATCGTTGTTATGTTTGAGAGTGATGGACATTTAATTATTGTTAAGGTGTGGTTAGAACTTGGTTTCGATCATATTTTAATCAGAAAAAATAATCATTTTTATAGCCGTGTCAATGGCCTAGGAGTGTAAAAGATAAATAAAGAAAAATGTCTCTTGATCTGCTCGATCATCATGGTCAATTGGCCAAGATTATTTTTAGTATTGTAGCTCAAAACTGTGAGTATCATGGAGTCAGCCTGAACAGTAAGATTTTGATGTCGATCAGTTGATCAGGCTTGATCGATCGATGTTGTTTTATATTGGTAAATTGTATATGAAACTCAGACTGCTCATAAACCATATATGTACTAGACAAGCCTGATAAAATATTAAAAAAGATATTGGTGAGAGTAATAAGACTGACATAAATCCTTGACAATTTGAGAGAAGATATTGAAATCATAAAAGCGAACTTAACTTACCTACATATCCATTGGGATCCCGTCCATCGATACTGAAGTGATCATTTAGATAGATGGCATATTTCAGCGCGTCCTCGGGACTAGGTGTCCACTCTAAGATCTTTTTAGCCCAATACATCCGTAAAAATCCGTGCATTTTGCCCTCTTTTACGAGTTGTATCTGAGCAGAGTTCCAGAGGTCGTCGTGAGTTTCCGCTTTGGCGAGCTGCTCACATGTGTAGATATGTGTTCTTTTATCCTTTCTAATAAAAAAAAGGAAATAATAATATTTGTATCATAAGGACTATTGTTGTTTGAGTATTATAAAAAGGATTTTCACTGATTTACTAGGCCAAATTCTAAGGGCGTCTGTAGAACATTTCATAAATGTCCACAGACAATAGTAACCGCTAAAACTATATAACGGCATAAACGGTCCTGAAACTATTTTTACAAAACAGTGACTTCATTAAAGATATTCAAAGGACGACCAAACAAATATCGACCTATAAATCACAACACTATCGATACACGTGCTGTCATTAGACAAGGACATCTAATGTAATTTAGGTAATGAGTGAAAGGGACATTTCAAGAAGACATCAACGGCCTAATTGTTATTACTTGGCACCATTATGTCACCAGTATTCGTTGAACTCCGGTGCATTTGAAATACGTGCTATGAATATAATTTACTACCGATGAAATGTTATGCTATCTTTTTGATAACTATCCAGTTATCAAAAAGATAGCATAACCGTGTCTTAGCTGACTTGACTCACTTTTAATATATTTTGATACAAAACCATTTTAAATTGTCAAGTCACAAACTTGGTCTTTACTAATGTCGTGATTCTTAGCATCACCTCGTATGCTAGCTGCAGCAAGTATGTGTTGCGCGCCTTTGTGGCCTTGTATGCAGAATCTATTAGGGGGTAATGTGTCGGGCACGCCGTCATCGCGGCGGTAAGACCCGTTATGGAAGATTGGCTCGAGAGGCGTCACGGGATCCTCTCATACCAACTGACGCAGGTGATCACTGGGAAAGGATATTTCGGGGATCACCTGTGTCTGATCCGCAAGGAGCCAACGTCGGAGTGCCACCACTGCGATGGCCAGACCGTGGACTCTGCTCTCCACACGCTGGCAGAGTGCCCGGCATGGGTTGAGCAGAGGCGAGACCTCGTGGCGGCCATCGGAGTGGGAGTTCTCTCGCTCGATAGCCTGATTGCGGCTATGGTGCGGAGCGAGAGTGCGTGGAACTCTGCCGTCACCTTCTGCGAGCAAGTTATGCTGCTCCATAAGCGCAGGCCTGGCGGTGACAGGTGAGGCCATCTGTCACTCTAGCAGAAGCAGGCCGGGGTGGCGCGCTCGCTTCCAGGGAGCAGAGGGAACATGGGGTTCCCACACGGGGGGGTCGTATACTTGTTGTAGATGGCCCGAGGTATGTCGCGGCACCAGGGACTTCCTTTCTAGGGTATACCTGGTTCCCCGGCTATTAGTACCCGAGACGGCGTGCGGTTTTAGTCGGTTCGAGACCGACATGCCACTGATAGGTGGTATCCGAGGGGATTTCCGCACGGAAACAAAAAGGGGGTAATGTGTGACTTACCCCCTAGTAGGTTCCGCATAATAGTTCTAGCATAGTACTAAAATATTGTTTGTTGGTTTTGTAAAATTTCCGAGGCTTCTTTTCTTCAGTAAGACAAAAAAAAATTTTGGGCCAAATTTGCTGCCCTAGGCTACAGCCTACTCAGCCTGCTGGTAAATCCGCCACTGTTTTGAACCGAGGTAATACGATAAAATGTGTCTTTTTTGCGGTCAAAACTGTGACTTTTTGGGGTTAAATTGTTCTAAATTCAGTCTACCCCAATCAGAAAGTTCTGCTTTGGAAGTTTCGATTTCAGACACAAGTTTGTCTCATGGCTTTCGATAACGTTTCCTGAGAAATGTTAGGGCGGCTGGACAGAAGAAACAGTGAATGATGGTGTACCACCAATTACAGTTTCATGGGAAGCCCATAAATATTTATGATTTAACATTTGACACCTTTTACCTGTACATAGCAAGTCAATAAACTTACCGATGGTCATCTAACGTTTTCTGTGCCCATGCACTGGCACCTTTTATGCTATCATAATGTTCACAATAGAAGCAGAAGTTGTCAGCCAGTTCGCGACGCACGATAGCCTCCTCCAGAAATGCATTCACACTTTCGGTATATTTTGTCTTGTACTCTTGAATACATAATGCTACTCTCTGGACTGATATTTGGCCTGTAATAAAAAAATAATGAATAAAAATTTACATTACTAAACTGCTAATTTTAATGTTATTTGACTTTATCGTTTACCACATGTAAACATGTATAATAATATTATTTTTTTATTTCCTTGATCAAGTCTTTTTAAGTAATAATATTTCGGACATCTGACTCACAACGCCATCTAGTTTCAAACTAAGCAGAGCTTGTACTATGAATGCTAGACTGACTGATATAATACATACTTATATACTTTTTTTTTCGTAAATAGATACATATTATACATAGTTAACACCCAAACTCCCCGAAACAAATATTTGCAGATCAAACTAACATTTGTTCCGACACGGGAATCGAACCCAAAACCTCAGCACAACAGTGGCATACGCTACCACAGCACCACCGAGGCAGCTGTCCCGAGTCACCAACAGACAATCCATTTATTTATTTTCTATTCCTGGGATCACAGACATTTCAAGTGGTGCACTTTGAATATTTTTCTGTAAATTCTCTATAAGAAAGAACTCAGGCACTAGAAATATATTCTGTGTCGCGAGGGACTTTACAGACGGTCAACGGACACAAAGAACACCCAGATTGAGAACAAAAATTTGACGATCGAACCTACAATACTCAGTGCAGTAGGATGCGGCGAGGTGACCGCTTAAACCACTAAGCCATTCGTGCTGTGGAGAAAAGGTATCAGGTCGAGAGAATATTATAAACAATATGCATCAATCTCACATATATGTAAGTTCATAAAATATCTCACCAAAATGGAACCAAGGCGATAAATTGCTTAGTGCGTCTATAGTAGGATCATTTCTCTTAGTGGCAAATACTTTCAGTCTCATGTCAATGAAGCTCTTTAGCATTTTCAGGGCCTCATCATAACCAGGACGAGCCCAAGCCACTGGGCCAACATTCTTATCTGCCTCCCTGGACTCTATTGCATCATTCCAATCTATAGGCTGGAATTTAAAACATAATTTTGATAAGGTGAAGTGTATAATAACATTATAAATTTTGGTAACAATCATCAAACAGCCTTTAGTAGTCCACTGCTGGACATAGGCCGCTGCTTAGGAAGGAGGTTTTGGCTTACTATACCACACTGGAAGGATAGTTTTGGTGTCAAGTTTTCCTTTTCTTTGCAGTGATGTTGTCCTGCATAGTGTGTTAGTACAGGTAAATCTGCATGCATAAATTAATGTTTTCATTTTCTCAACTAAGAAACCTTTGCAAGTACTTTTGTTAGTAGTCAAACTATGACAAGAATATCAATGTAATGAGGCTGGGCCAAAAAATTGGATTTTGTTTACACATTGGCATACTGATCATTCTGTATCCGCACTTTGATAAAGATGGATGTGGCATCTCTGACAACCGCAGCTATTTATATAGTACATTTAATTATTAGCTAAATGTGTACCAACATGCTGAAAGATCCTTTGATGTTTACACGAAAAATAGACACTAATCGGTTGGCCCACTAGTGTTGTCACACACTACCAACATACCGTCTAGTGGATCTTTACATGTTGGCCCAATATTCGCCTAGTACCTTGGCCCATTATGTACAGCGGCCTTTAGATAATAATAAAGTATTTTATTCCATTTCTTTCAAATCTGATGTTAGATAACTACAGATATTACATGGTGTCGCACAATTGATTTTATGTTACTTTAAAAAATAGTCTGATATAGAAACACAACCATTAGCAAGCACAAGTAAACCTTTATTACTATGTTATGACTTAATGGGTTGTAACACACTTGCAACTCTCGAGGTGTCTTGTTGAGGGTGATTAACAGACAACAAATGTAACAAACAGGCAACTGTTTGTTTGCTGTCTAAACAGCTCATAATAAGAAGGCTAGTTTTGTCTTTTTATTTATACTAACCTCTGGTTCAAATTTGCTGGTATAAGGATGCTTAATAACAGGGGGAAATTCTGTCAAGTATTCATCAAGTTTGGAGGTGATTTTGTTTCTTATTGTTCTTGCAGAATATTCCTGCTTCTCAGAAGCAACCCAGCATGGAACTATGTTATGGGCATCCACCTGTAAGTGTTTCAAATTCAATGATTAGTCTTATTTTTGAATGAGTAACTTGTAACTTTGAAAAGCAAAACTAGATTTCATTTTTCAGTTAATTCATTTCATAAAACTTTTAGCTGCATTAACTTAAATATAGTATGCATAAGTTAAAAATGTTAGATTGTACAATATGAATTAATTTTTTTTTGTTTATTTTTTTCATTAATGGATGTGCTATTCCATTTTCAAATATTTTCTCCAAATGTGGAAAGATTTTAATATTTCAAAATTAAATCTATTCCAAAAAGTTTTTAGTAATATTATTGAGAAGCAAACCTGTACTCTAATCCATACTTATAGTATAAATGTAAAAGTGAGTTTGTTTGTATGTTGGCTTTCACACCAAACCCACTACACCAATTTTAAAAATTCTTTCAACAATGGAAAGGCACATTATCAGGGAGTAAAATAGGCTAGTTTTTCCCGTTATAACTGAGATACATGGGCAGAGCCTCAGCCAATAGTATTAAAAAAAAGTTGTAATTTAAAAAAGTTTGGGTTCTCAAATACCACTACTATTTACTACTAAATATTTATTAGATGTCCATATAAATATTATTATGTTAAAATAATAAAGCTAATGTAAATAATAATTACCTGTATAAGAGGAACATCTTTTTTTAATTTCTTTTTACACCCTTCAAGCCAGCCTAAAGGCACTCTTAAGGGATTAAAGTCACAGACAACAGCTCCTATGTTATGTTCTTCTACCCACTGAGGTAGAACCTCTGCTCCACTGCCTTCTAGCAGATGGAATGATATATTTAATTTTTTGCAATCTACCGCTACTTTCTCGAGACCTGGAAATTTATTCCAAAACATAAGTTATTGATGACAGATCACTATATTACTAACATTAAAAACAATATGTACCTTTTATAAGGAAATCAAACTGTCTAACAGAAGCGTCTAAATATTTAGCAATCAAACAAAAACACACGTGCAATGGGACTTCGTTCTTGAGCGCAAGTTTTTGTGCGAATAAAAATGCCCAATTATCTTGGACTCTGCTGTCGCGAGACATCCAGTAGACTACTCCTTGGCAGTTATCAGGGACCATCTGCTCTTGTGACACAATTCTGACTCGTTTTTTATTGAACCTAAAATCCAAAATAGACTTGGCGGTATCCTCGCGTTTAGATTGTAATTTCTTCATAAATTCTCCAATATCTGTATTAATTGTTTTGCTGTCCGTTGAAGTAACTGATAATTTCAATTTTTTTGGTGCTGATGCCATTTTCAAAGCAGCACTTACAGATTGTATATAATTAACTCTCATAAAATTTCTCGAGGTATGGGATAATAAGAAACAGAACAGCAAACTGAAATTCACCAGACAAAGACGCCGGTGTTGACATATCTCATTTTCGCGCATTTGTCATCTGGCTATGGTGTTGCCTGTGCTTCCGTTTTTCATGCCAAATATATTGGTAATACTATTTTTCAAACACAGTACCAAACCAGGAAAGAAACAAAGGACCTACATATTAATGCTAATATGTAAAACCATAAGTAATCAAATTATTTATAGCTAATTCTAAATAGTAGATCTCACAGAATGACTCTCCATGACTTGTCCTTACATCAAAGATTAATAAAGTTGCACAGTAGGGTACATTACCCATTAAATATTTACCAATAATTCGAGATTGCACATACAAAGTGCTCTACGATGTTGTTTTTGTCATCGGTGTACCTAATTTAGTGAAGTACCAAGGTCAAGATAACTTATTGACCTTACCAAGATTTAGAAATACGGTGGACTGTGTTACTTGGTAAAACCGTTAACAAACAACAAGTCCAACAGTAACATAATGAATTAATGTACGTTCCCAAAATGGGCATCTCGAATAATTATTTGACAACACAAATAATATCAAGAAATTAATGTGTGATAAATTTATTTAAATAATATTAACAAAATTTGAGATTAGATCATCGTTACTAAATTCAGGAGATGGGAAATACTTCTTCTTTAGGTAGTTACTACATGGATGGCAATTGTATCTCTCAATGTTAGTTCTCATACATTCGAAAGAACAAAAATTAACTAGCTTACACATTTTGCAAGGTATTTTTTCGTCTTTTAGAGGTATAGCACATTCAAAGCAGACCTTGAACTTGTTTATCTGAAAGTTAAAATAGTACAATTACACATCAAAAAAGGTCTAAGCAACATGTACGGTTTTGAACTTTTGAACGATTTTTACTATTATTATATATTTATACTTATTTAATAAATAATAAATATAATACTATAAAATAAAGTTAAAACGAAATTAAACTTTCATGTTTTACAAAATTAAATAACGTTATTTTTGAAATTATTTGTTAATTCAATACAAAGTGTGACTGCCTCTGTTGTTTAAAACTTGTTGGCAACGATTTTTCATTGAATTTATAAGATTATTTATATGATCCTGCGGTAATTGCTCCCAATGGACTTTTAACAAGGCTTCCAGTTGTTAGGTTCTCGATAATCTGTCCAGGCCCTTAGAACACGTCTCCGGTGCATGTCCCATAGGCCGTACGTGCTCGATTGGATTGAGGTCTGGCGATTGTGCAGGCCACGGCAATATCCGGTTGTTTTCCATTGCCAAGTACTCTCTGGTCCTGGTCTGGTCTGAGTCAAGACTGTGCAAATGGGTAAAAATTAAGGCCCGAGGATATCTTCAACGTAAGTTTCAGCATTCATTTTGCCATCTACAAAAGGGAGCCCAGTTCGTCTGTAATTCTGTCTGTAATAATCCCGCCTATACCATTACTTCCTGGACATTCTCAGCTGTTCAGCATTTTCGGGAAGACGATACACTCTTACTCCTCTCACTCATTGCAAAATAAAATTTTATGCGATTGCTGGGCCCATGTCAAGTTGTTCCCTACACCATTCGTAACGGACGGACGTGATTCAGATGGTTTGCACCTAATTGGGTGTCGTGCTCATAGGCAGTATTCAAGCAGTCTGTTTCTCACGGTTTGGTGGCCAACAACAACACCGCTTGAGAATCATAGCTTTAAACTTATCTCCCAGGTGGTTAACAACGGCTGACGTCTTACAGTCAGTTGTATATATCGGTCCTGTCGAGCAGTTGTACTCCTTCTACGTCCTGGGTACTGCTTAGCAAGATCCCCTTTATTAACAAAACGCTACCAAAGACGACAAATCACGCTCCTATTGACATCAATATGCGGAGAGACCTGGGACTGATTTCATCCCGCTTGTAGCATTCCTACAGCTCTCTGCATTTTATCAGCAGTCAAATAAAGTAACTAATAATAAAAAATAAAATAACATGCAGTTTCTAGTAAAGCGGCGGTATCCTAATGGTCAGGACGTTGTACTTGTGATCAAGAGGTCGTGGGTTCAAATCCTGACCAGTACACTACCGACGTGAACCCACTCCTAACACAAGGCAATTTAGCATAGCGGGAGGGTTTAACGGGAATACTAGTAATTTCGGTTGCGAGTAGACCTTTCTTTAAAAAAAAGTTTCTGTGAATAATTTGTGTTGCTTTGACTTCTTTGATGTGTGTATTTTATGTACTGTGCATAAAATATGAGCACAATCTTTTGTAGAACCGACTTCGGACGAAGGGTGTTTTCAGCGAACTATTTATCGATTAAGGGTAATTCGAAATTTGCGTCTGAGCTCATGAAATATTTAAGGATGGAAATCAAAGAAAATTAAGTTAGACTACTTTGCCATTTGTTAGTCAAATTTCTACAAACATGTGTCGATTTGGAAAAGGGGGTTCCAACAAGATCATGATATAATGTAGACAGATATCTACCTGCTGTGTTCATCTTGTTAGTTTTAAATGTTTGCAACAAGGCATTATTGTTTTTTTTTGTCAATGTTGTCTTGTACAAGTTAATGTTATAATGATGATGAATCCTAATTATATATATATATAATTTATAGAAATATTGATGCCACAGTAATGGACTATTACTAACCAATTTAAACATAACAATAGCGATCCTTACATTAGATCTATATTCTATACATAGATGGATTGATATATATTGTCTATAAAATTACCAGTGCGGTACTAATAGGTTTCTACTTACTAAGGGATTGACTTTGTAAGCTCACCTCATCGGCGGGAGTAATTTCTGGTGTTACATAAGGCCTTTTTAGAACCTGCCCAACTTTAGTAACCAACTTATTTTCACGTACGAAGTAGGTTACTTCTGATTCTATGGAAGTCTTATCTTCTGATGATATCGCGGCGGTGCGTAAACTTTTCTTCATCTTCTTAAAGTAGAAAATTACTATACAGAGTACGTGTTTTAAGACCTTGTTGTCGTTGTATATTCGTTTCTTAGTAGTTTTAAGTATATCCCAAATTTCGAGGCATCGCGTTGGTGTGAGCCATAGACCCAATCGTTTCGAGTTTTTATATTCTTTCAAAATCATGTTCCAGTGTCGATGTTTGAATCTATGAATGAAAAGTTTTATATAATTAAATAACAAAAACACATTGTTAAGAATTGATCTTATAGAGGCCTAAGTGTTGAGTACAACGGAGATTAGAGATACGCAGGTATAGATATTATAATAGGACAAACGGACACAAGGTTAACTACAACCTACACAAGATTATACGAGCAATAGGTAATTAAACGACAACCATTGCGTCGTATTAGTAATTAGAGGGTTTCCATACAAATAGCAAGATAAACATTTGCACGTTAGTCGAGCATTCATGAACGGCCTTTGTAACAAAGTTCTATATGGATTGGAGTAATTACGTCATAAATGTTCAAATTCATTTTTTTTGCAGAATTTAGTACATGCAACAGATGTTAATAATTACAAAATTGGTTCAGTATAATATATGACCATGACAATGGTGTGCAAAAGGTCATAAGATGCACTAACAGCTCACAGTCCGTACTGGGAAATTTTTATTATTTATAAGTATTTCCTATATATAATAATTTACCACGTAATTACGTATTTACCATATTTACAAATTTGTAGAATAAATGAGATAAAAAATCTAATGAAATCATGTCAGCCTTAAATATTATTATGCATTAAAATAATTATTTCTATTGCATATTTAAATTGAAATTAAAATAATATATCATGAAAAAAGTAAAATATTTGTATAGGACGGATCGCAGTTATGTAAATAAATGTCATGTTGAAGTAGGCTCTAAATATTCTTGGACTAAGTAAAATTTTTGTGACAGATATAGTTTTTTTTTTTGAAAAGTACAGGTTTTCTTTTCTTTTGAAATGTTTAGTAACTTGTTAAATATTTAAATTGCCATACAGTATGGGCTTTCGTTCAACATTTTTATTTTTTACAGAGGAAGGTGAAGGCTATTTTTGTGCCGAGTGTTTATGGTGTATATTTTTGAACACAAATACATATGTCGAGTATATATGCATAGACAGCAGATTTTTTTTTTATGGTTTACAACTCCCCGTGTTATCTGGGCTAAGATTCTTATACATATATAGTTCACTGCTGTTAATACTATTTCTGCATAGCATGACGCCATATCGCAGCCACGAGTATGTGTATGCGTAGTAAGTAGAGAAAGCTATCTGTGTGTCGGTAGTTTGTTTAATTTGAAGAAAATCTGGAATGTATGCTCGATGTGTGATTTTCAATTTGTGTGTCTATTTTCATGCCAAGTAAGGTAAATGTCTCAACTTCTTCTAAACGTATGCTTCTGTACTCGTATATTGTGTTCAAATTTAGAGAAGATATTTTATATAATTTAAATTGTATTATTTTTGTTTTAGTTGAATTAATATCTAAGTTGCGATCTTTAAGCCAGTTATATACAGTTTGAAAAGTGTTTTGTTATAGAAGATTTATTTTCAAGGGTTATTTTCATTTTCGCATTTTAATAGTATTGAAATGTCATCCGCAAAAAGTAATGGCAGAGTTTTTTCTTTATCTAATGTTTTTGGCGGATCATTTATGTAAATTAAAAATAACACAACCCAATACACTTACTTGGGGAGTTAAGGAAGTTATTTGGAGTTCTCGAGATCTGAAAGATTTTATTTCATTTTTGTCAGGGTTGTTATTATCAATTAGTACTATTTGTGTCCTATTTTGTAAATATGACTTAAACATGAATAAGCAGGTACCCGTACTCCACAGCCATATAATTTGTTGAGTATAATTCTAATTCTTACAATTCTAATTTTTTTTTTAAAAAGACGACTGCATCCTCCTGCATTAAAATTATATCCTGTGTCGCGGGGACTACGTCAAAGGGACACAAAGAACACCCAGACTCAGAACAATAATTTGTGGATCACACAAAGTGTCGTCCTATGTGGGGATCGGACCCACAACACTCAGCGTAGTAGTAAGCGGCGTGGCGACCACTTAAACCACTACGTCATTAGTGCAGTCAAATGTCGTAATGTCATAATGTCGTATAGGACCCGGTCATACACCTTTGTCATGTCCAGCAGCAATCCAATTACTGTTCAAAGGTTGCAAGTAACCGTCAACCAAAAAGTGAACCATAGCGTGTGATTTTTAGACACGTCAAATCAAATCAAATCAATCTTTATTTGCCAACCAAGTGTACATAAGAGATCTCATAATAATAATTTGCCTCAACGTAGTAGCCTTTCCAGGCATTGCAAATTTGAGATAGAGTAGAGAAGAATAAATTATCAAGTACAAGCATTTTAGAATAATTAGATTAATTAATCAATAATATAGTAAAACAAATGAATAAATCGTGCAAAATACAACATTTAGACATTTTAACATTTAAACTTAAGCTCGTGGTACCATATACAGCAATCTATAAAATCACTTTGTTATTTAAAGCGGGCCGTACAGTTGGATTACACAAGCTCTATCCAGCAGAGATAGCCCTTGTTCAGGATTGTCTGAACTTCATCTTTCTCTGTATGAGTTACCTTGTCTCTCTCTACAAAAACAATTAGGTATGTTAGTGCCAGTGAAGTTCAAGTACATACCTATCGACTATTACGATTAGCTCTTTCAACAATTCAGCTTGTATCCATCGAATAATCAGAAGTCTTGCACAATTCGTTACTAGACTTAAAGCTTGCTTGTAATCACCAACTTCGTCTGTTCCCAACGCTTTAGCTCCCAAAACGGACTTAGTAGAACTAGCGACAACGCTTTTTGTTTTTTCCTTGGGTTTCACTTCATTTTTTGACTTTTTATTGTCCTGTTTGCCAGCTATTAAAAAAGCAATGATTTACTACGTATACAAAATTTAATTTGAAAAAAGAACTAGGTACTTACTTGGTGACGCAGGTTTAAGTTTTTCCAATTCTGCCAAGGTAGACTTAGCATACACAAATAGGTTGTCATACACATTTTCCGCGTTTTGACATTTTAGTAAAGGATCAGCACCAAACAGGAGTAGATTAGTCAACTGTAAATATAAAATTCAACCTGTTTCACATATTAAAAAATGTATAGTGAGCAAGAAATTTATTAAAACTAGTAAAATACATTTATTTGCAAATGTTGTGATTCAATTATACAATGACCGTTCGTCGTCGATCGTTCAGTCACTTTTCATCAGGTGAGACGTCTGCTCGTTTTTATCAAAGGCAAAACTATGTTCATGGAAGAGCCATGCTTCAGGACATATGAGCCGACTCGACCGGAATGATGTCATGGCCTCACAGAAAGCCGGTGATAAGTTAAGTTGCTTTTCATTAAGTGAGTGAGGAGGAATAACCCCTCCAACTTCATCCTAATTCGGGGGGTAGAGGAGGGAGGTACTTAAAGGCCGGTAGCGTACTTGTCTCTAATTACTTCTTTATTTTTCATTAAAAAAAAACTTTACACTGGGAAAACTAGGTCTTGGAATTACGCTAATTAAAGTCAAAATTCGTGAAATATAAAGGTTCTGATCGATCGATCATTGGTTAAATTCTAAATTACACGACCCACCATGTGTAAAGAAAAATGTATTAAATACCATTTGTAAACGCTCGCTGACGCCAATAGTTCTACAAAACGGTAAATAGAACATCTTTACAAGAATATTTTGGTTTAACTCGTTTATTATTGCGTTTAAATCTGTGTTTGGACTTTCAATGAAGATATCAAAAATATCCAAACTTTTCGATATCGCTATGTCCATAGATGTACGTCCTTTGAACTGAGCTGTTGGGTCGCAGCCATATTTAAGAAGCAGTTCCAGTAATTGATGACGAACCTGTAAGAAATACAGTTAAGTAAGGTATTATTATAGAATTCATAAGAATACCTACTTGTTAATTAGTAAACTGGAAAAGTAAGAATACGGAGTGTCGCCACCCACGGGATGAATAGTCATCCCGTGGGTGTCGTAAGAGGCGATTAAGGGAGCAAACTATGTAGGACAACAGCACTGGAAAGAGAAGGAAAACTTGAAACAAAACTTATACCAATTCGCCTGGCCAGCGTGGTATTGTAGGCCAATACCTCCTTTGTGTGGAGAGGCCTATGTCCAGCAATGGACTACTAAAGACTATTGATGAAGATTATGATGAAAAATAATAAATATAAATAAAATTCTGAATTCCTGATCTGTGGTGGAATCAACACAAGGTCTCTGGAATTCAGAAAATCAAGGCAATTATATCATTAAATTTATACATTCACATACACTAAAGCCTGTATTTTATATAACTATCCCATTATATTGCCATACACTAATACCCGAATGGTAGAATCATATTAATCTTTCACATTTTGCTAAATATAATTTTGTCCCAGCTTATATATATAATAAGAGGCAAGCCGTTCAGACACCTTGATAATTAAAGATTGGGCAATTGTAGTATATTTATAGTAATAGAAACATAAGGATATAAACATAGAGATAACACAGGGTATAGCTGTCTGTAAGTAGAAGCGATACATTCAACGAGAGAGATGAATGCCCGATATTTCCCCCTGTCTCTGTTTAGCTCTCTGTTTAACTAAGCTGCGACTGACTACTTATTAACCCCTCATATTCCCATGCCAACTACAGAGTCCGACTAGAAAGAGATAGAGAGGACTATCTATTATCCATCTCGTTGCCTGTATTGCAAGATTGGGGCTATTGTTCTCTCTAGGTTATATCTAAATAAAGGATAAAAAGAAGTAATGGTTTGAATAATTACATTTTGTTTATACAGATGGTATTAGGGGTGTAGTTTAACCAATAGCTCTAAAAGCCAAGAGGTAAAGGTTGTTTACCTGTATCTCAAACAAGCTATTATGTTATGACTCTCTGAACCTTCTCACACAATGTTTAATACTTTAATAGTACGAATATCGTATACAACTTACGTCTTCGTAACTTTCATCTTCAACCTGTTTTGCAAGAACAGCATGCAGTAATGTGGGCCCTGGTTCGTTTGGATCCGAGTCTACATCAGAATTATTAATGGGCAGTCTGTGATTTGAGTTGGCTCCCATCTCTAGCAAAGTGCGAATAACTTCCAAGTTCTTGTAATTCAGTGGTTGGCTTACTGCGATGTCTAAAGGTGTATATTCTAGAGACTGAAATCATGTTAAGAAATAAGTTAAGGGAAAGTACAAGGTTACCTTACATCAAGGGTTACTTGTATTTGGGTAGTCTCAGGGTGACATCACGTCAAACTGCTGTAATATATCGCTAAGCTATTATGAATAATCAAATTGTAAGAGGTATTATTGTTCTGACCTGGGGATAAACCTCATTTACGTCCGCTCCATATTTAACCAAAGTCTCGATGAGATCGGGAGCATGGGCTACTATAGCCATAAAAAGAGCAGGCTGCGGACAGCTCACCCGACGAGGATCAGCACCGTGTAAAAGTAGCTGGGTGATGGTTGCCTTCAGATTTTCCATTCTGTCAATTTATAAATATAAAACCACTTGATCATCATTCTTTTAACATTTTGGGTGTAATTTATTTATAAAATGTATGTATTTAGTAATATATAAGTGTCTTTATCAGTAGTCACCACGTGATTGCGATAGAGGAGTGATATAGGAGTGATACCACGATTTCACAGAAAACCTGTGTTACGCAAGTTATGCAATTCTTTCGTTGCATTTTGAGTGAGAAGAACTTGCCCGTTCTCCTCCCTGAATCTGGGTACGAGGTCACTCCAAGGTGACATCACACTTGTAACTTTTGAGTTGCAGGTGCCATGGGCGATAATCGCTTACCATCAAGTGTCTGTGTCTTGAACGACAGTATAAATAGAAATTGAGTGGATAGATCTTGAATATAGTTAATTCTGATACTATAAATCTCATTTTACAGAAACTTACGTCAATAACATCATCTACTATTTACGAATCTATGAACTCTGACTCTATAATGAGAGCGAAGCTGATGAGATAAAAGTTTTTAATTGTGCACATATACGCGATTTAAATATATATATCAAACTGCTTGCTATCGTTCAGTCGGGAGCTAACTATTTACGTAGACTAGGAGATTTCATCTAAGAGCGAAGCCACACGATGCGTTGACGGTGAGGTGCGACGCCGCACCGTAATGAATTCGAAGTATACGGTGCCACGCGGGTGCAGTGTTTGCTCCGCTGTTTGAGAGATATGAGATAGTCCATATCTATATTATCGTCCTCGTCAGTTTTCATTTTACAACTTACGATTGATATAAAATCACGGGAAAAAATACACTATGCGAGCAAGCACCTACATTTCCCAACATCTGCGGTCTGCGACGTCAGAATGGCAGAGGAGCCGCGCCGGCGAATAAACCCTCCCCCTCGACTTGGACCGGTGTGAGTGCGGTGCGGTGCCGTACCGCACCGTGTGGTATACCATGGACATTTATATGTATTATGCCGCAGCGACATCGGTCAGGCACCGCGCCGGAGCCGCACCGCATTGTGTGGCTTCTCCCTAAATGATTATAAAGCGCGAAATTAAAACTTTATAAATTCAAGACATTTCTAAAAGTAATCAAATTCTGAAATATTTAACTTACTCTTCAGTTTTAATTTTTATTCTTAACTTCATGGATGAACTCTGGTCTATACTCAGACAGGGTAAATCTCCGCTCGGCTTTTTTAGTACATCTTTAGCAACCTTGGCATTTTCTTTTTCTTTTTTTGAATCTTTTTTTTCTGGAATCTTTTTTTGCTCTTCTAGTTCAGCATTAATTTCTAATACCATATCATGAACTTGAAAAATGTAGTTCACTGGCGTTACCCCATTAGTTTTCAAAAATATATCATTAACTATAGTTTCGAATTCATGACTTATAGTTAAGTATAGTCGATTTTCACCGCCAAATAAATCACTTGATTTACTTTGCGTATCAGTTTTGCTCTCTCTCGCTGCAATCATGTCTATTTTTTTAAATACCTTCGAACCAATTGATTGAAACGACTTAGATTTTTTATTGATTGCCGCCTGAACTTGTACATTTTTCGCTGTTTTAGCACCCGCTTCGAGGTCTTTTTTATTTAAAGTAAATGGAATCCCAAAATTTCGATCGATTTCCCATTCTGATACATTTTTTTCTGTCGCAACTAAAACGTTTATTTATTAATCATAAGTCAAAACTATATCAGATAGCTCACAAGAATAGGTAATTTAATTTTTATTATTAAAGGTAAATGTTGGTGATGTATTGTAAATTGGTGACTGAAATCCGAACCCGTCAAACTTCAGTCAGAAGCATTTCTCCGCAAATCGGGCAATTCATAAAATAATTAAACATAATATATATTATGTGCATTAAATATCATTTACCTCCAGTTGTTCCAATACCAATTGGTAATATGGCTTTAATAATATCACTAGGATGTATATCCAGCTCAGCACATGCATAATTAATCAATGCAGCGCCGAGTGGAGTGCAGCAGGCATCGTTGTAATTATTTATTTCAGCCCCGGCTTCAACTAGGAAATGTATTACGTCCGTTCGGTTGCCACACTACGAATTAAGTTTTAACATTAAATTTTGTGTTTTATAATCACTACATACTAGTAGAATGAAAAACTATATAACGATATGTGTGATATATGAGTTGGAAAAACAGGTTTCTTTTTGTGGATCATACAAAGTGTTGTTCCATGTGGGGATCGAACTCACAACACTCAGCGCAGTGATAAGTGGCGGGGTGCGCGCCTAAACCACTACGCCATCGGTGCAGTTCAACTTTATTACTGTAAAAATCATTATTGGTTCTTTTTTTTATGGAAGAGAGGGCAAACGAGCAGACGGGTCACCTGATGGATAGCGATATGATTTATTTTGTTGGTGTTATTATAAATATTTCATCAATTATCATCATCATCAACAGCGCATAATAGTCCATAGTCCAGTAGTATAATAGGACATAGGCTTCTCTTTAAAAAATAGGTTTTGGCCTACAAAACCAAGCTGGCCAGACGGAGTGGCATAGGGTTTGTTTTGAGTTTTCCTCCTCTTTACAGTGCTGTTGTCCTGCGTAGGTAGTTTGCTCCATTAACGGCTCTAACGACACCCACGGGATGAATATGGTGACACTCCGTATTCTTAATCCCCACATAGGGGTGGTGACATTCTTCACCGTATTCTTCATTCGTCACCACACACACCTATAAATTTGACTGCACGGATGGCGCAGTGGTTTAAGCGGTCGCCACGCCGCTTCCTACCGCGCTGTGGGTTCAAACCCCACACGGGACGACACTTTGTGTCATCCACAAATTATTGTTCTTAGTCTGGGTGTTCTTTGTGTCCGTTTTATGTGTTTGTAAAGTCCCCCGCGTCACAGGAATATATTCCTAATGCGGGAGTTGTCTTGCTTTATAAAAAAAAAGGCAGAAAATTCTTTAATATTGTTAAAAGTGTATAATTCTACTTACTGCAGCATACATAAGTGCCGAGTTTCCTTGCACATCTGTGACGTTAGGATTCACGTCGTATTCATTTATGAGTTGAGCAACATTTTTTATGTAACCCAAAAAGGATGCCATTAGGAAAGTTCTGGAACATATGTATATTGTATTTTTGTATACATAGTAAGAAATAGGCGTAGAAACTCAAAAATTGTTCAATCCAGATGATGTTAGCCCGCTGGTCTATGCAAATAATAAAATTGAAGTGTCTCTTTGTAATGTCAAACTAATAGATCTTTTACATGTGCGAGTACCTATTTAAAAAATCAAATTAGTTTAGGTTTAGTTTATTTTATTAGGTTATTCGCACTATACCATGCCTAAAAACCACATTAAATGTTTTTTGTCTGTCTGTCTGTCTGTTTTGAAGCCGTTTTGAAGATTACCCGGAACAAACATTTTTTTTTTACTTTTTGCTATATTTTAATACTCGGCTCGTGCGATGTTATATAGCCTTATAGCCTTCTCCGATAAATGGATTATCTAACACTAAAAGGTTTTTCAATTCGAACCAGTAGTTCCTGAGATTAGCACATTCAACCAAACAAACAAAAAACGAAATTAGTACAGATTTAAGAATTAAATTCGTTTAATAAATAAAATTCTCAGAAACCTGCAATCCAGTTCGTGTTCAGCTGCAGGTTTAAACAAGTCCCTAGGTCCATTTAAAATTGATCTCAAATTTATTTTACTCTTTGTAAACTGTTTGCTATGTTTGTAAGAATGCTGCATCATGTGTACTATGACATCATTGTTGTTCCAAGAGTAAAAGATGTCTTGGTCGTTACCTAAAACACTATTACTTGCTTGCTGGCTTTCGTTCTGAAATAAATTTAATAAAAAAAATATGGCACATCTAAACCGTAGCATAGACAATACTGTGAGTCATCGATGTTATTGTTAAATCAAACACTTGTCTTTAAATATATAAATGACACACACACACTTATAAATAATTTAAAAGTTTACGTCCAGTAAAAAATAAAAAAGATACTATACTTGTGTTTTTGACTTCGTGTCATCAATGAATGGTTCAAGTGTAACAATTTCATTGCCATAATACGCCCTCTCAAAAACGTCCGAATGGAACAACTGACTTTTTTCGTCAGTACAGTTCTTCGGGTATAGCTTCGTCCAGTTTTGTGCAGCTAACAATGGCTGAGCGCCACATTGTTTCAATAGCTCCAGGGCGGGATTTGTCTCACCAATCTGTAAAGTAAAAATTTCAATAACTAGTGTGCCCAATTCAACGCAATGTTAAAAATAGATATAAGCTCTCGAAATTAGACATCAGTTTTGCAGAACAAAAACTATTTTGTAAATTGAACTGTTATAACATGGAGCTTTTAAACCATTATTAGCCCTTAAGTTCTTTGGTTAACATATTTTGGTAATGATTGCAGTTTCGTGATGTTATGAATTGTTTTTGTCTTATTATTTTAAAGAAATATACATATTTTGTCTATAATACACATAGTTTATTTAAGAATCGGGTATTGAAACCCTTCCTCACTCATCTTACAGCCCAACTTAGCTCCTTGTGACTTCTTTTTATTCCCACCATGAAAGATAAGATAAAAGGCAAGTTTTTTTTCAAGTGCCTACGAATCAGAAAATTTTGACCTGTCGGAGAAAAACTGGAATAAGTGTTTCTAAGACGGGTCAAGGCGGATAAAAATTTGTAAAGAGAGTGATAGAGAGTATTTTGATAAAAAATATAATACAAATTGTAAGTATATATTGTTTACTCTGCGTGTCTCAAAATTTATATAATGACCAACGTACAAGATTGCTGTAATAATAGTTTTAGACAGTTGATATCGGTGTCTACACCGAGCTACTTCAATCTTAGTCCTTAAATAAATAAATAAGTTAATATCGGACAAGAGACTTTTCCGCAAGTTTCTGATAAGTCTCGTATCCGAGACTTATGGTTACTTGTGGTGGTTTTCCATACCCCAATTTACTTACATTCGTTGTTCCGTCTAAAGAAGATTACATTTCTAAGAGTTTGCATCAGGCAGATGGTTGGCCATAAAGGAGAGGAAAAGGGCGGGAAAATGGTGTGCGATTACTAACAGTTCTTATGGTCGACACTAGTAGATTTCTATGTTTCGCCGCGATGTCATGTCCTTCAGGCGTAGACATTAGGTCAGGGACGACACTATGTGTCTCTGGTCTCCATGAAAGTCGGACAAGCTGAAGACCTCTCCAAAGACCGACGTTCTCGCGTAGACGGGCGTAAGTTTCCACGCCCGGACCCCAACGCATATTATTGTAATATAAACCCTGAAAATGACGTAATGATTGTTTGATAATTTCATTATCATCATCATCATTAACAGCCTCTACTAGTCCACTGCTGGACATAGGCCTCTCCTTAGAAAGGAGGTTTTGGCCTACTTCACCACGCTGGCCAGACGGGTTGGTATAGAGTTTGTGTCAAGTTTTCCTTCTCATATTTAGAATACTTAGAAGTTATTACTTAGATTTTACAGAAATATGTTTCATTAATAAAAAGAATAATGAGGTACACACAAAACATTGTTTTTGGTCGTTACGTTATCTGCCCAATCACATATAAAATACTATACAGGAAGTACTGTTAATAACTGAATATATTTTTATATATACTGAAAGAACTTCTGAAGCCAGGCTGGTCCATCTTATGCATTTTATAGTTTTGCAAACTTTTCGTTTTGTTTAAGTTAAAAATAATTTTCTATCCCTGAGATCTTTTTTCGAATGAAACCTTTGTTCTGTAACCCATACTTGTACAAAATAAAAACAATGACGATCTGTTGTGTAACTAAGGCAGCTTAAGAAACTGTTACTAGTTAAATGTCCATACTAACACTGAACACTCGTCCATTAGCGTACGATGTAAGACCGCAGCCATGCATGCAGTTATTGTAGAAATTACCCTCGTAGGTGTCGGCCTGATGCGCTTCACCGCGGTAACGACAGCGGTACTCACCCACGCCATGCATCGTGTCCCGCAGAAGACGACCAGAGTACGTTGCTAGCGACTGAAACATTACGTTATCCAGATTCATTATTTAGGAATACCATGTTGTCATCGCAGTCTTACTCACGTAAGCTATCGCATAGAATTTGCAATATTTTTTTTAGAGTAACAATTTTTGATGTTTGTGATGTAAAAAGTGATATCTCAAAAGAAGTTACATACAGGAGAGCGTTTTAAAGCTTTCAAACCAATCCAACTCCAACAAAAATCTAAAAATTATGGTATTATTGCTGACATACATATCACATCACATTAACAGCCTTTAATAGTCCATTGATGGACATAGGCCTGTCTTCAGAGAGGTTTAAATGCATATAAAACACATATTATATATACTATTCATATAAAAATATATTATGTGTTGAAATACATATAAGACTAAATATTTATGTGTTTTCTAAGTGTTGAAGCTTTTTTAAAATTCATCGTTTTCCATAAAATTCCATAAAAATAGAAGAAATGGTCAGTTTTTTTTTACATAAACTTTGAAAGGGATTTTTAAACATTGAAGTCTTATTTATTAAATAGGTTTTTGGTCAACAGAAGTTACTTATGAAATAATTAAACGCAATTTTAGACATTAATTAATATGCAAACATAGGGACAAACGTCGATATTACGTATAGACAGAAAATGTGTTGTAAATATATTGTTTCGTACGTGGGACCTTAAATAACTACGCTTGTAAAAGCGAATAAATTTTTGTTTTAATTTTCCCCGCAAGTCCGGAATTAACGGTCAGAATTGAAAATTTCTAGACAATCTGACGACTTGAAATTTTTAGTTCTGACCCTTAATTGATGTAGTGTAAGTAAAAAGTATAAAAACCTCAGCTCCAGACCAGTGGTGTGTTCCGTCTCCATCTTTTCTGTGTTCTTCATCTCTTTCCCCTACGTAATACTCTATGTAAGGCCACATTTTCTCTGCGTTCGTCCTCGGTGGTTGACATGGTGATATTGTATACGACATGATCAGTCAAATGTTACTTCTTGAATACTACTTGAACTTTTGATTAGTGGCTTTGTGAATATATTTTCCTCAATATAAAATGCGTGTAAAATATTCAAAACATTGAAGTAATAACAATGGGGTTGTCAGTTTTGACAGGCAAGCTGTCTATGTGCATATATGCAATTAAAGAGAACGTAAAACATTCATTATGTTACTATTCAAGCTATGAGTTCATAGATTTCGTTACTAGTTAACATTATGTGAGCGAAATTAATAACCATTTCCAAAAAAGATACTTTGTCACTTTAGTTACGTTATTCTAGATACTATAAGGATTTTTAGATTTTTAGATATTATATAACCAACCCATCAGTTCAAGAAATATGTATGTACCTATAATTGTATATAACATAGAAAAGGTTATGTACGTAAACTTATACGTAAATGTATTGGTATTATTAGCAGGTACAATATTTTAAAATACAGCATATCTATATATTTTTGAATCTGTTAGTAATTACAAGAATTATTAAACTTTATCCTTGACCAACTACCTCTGTCTTTGTCTCTTAATTTTTTATCTGTCTGAAAGAGATTGCTTTTTTAGTAATAAGCCTGCCCTTTGTACATTAAATGTTGAGAATATTATGTAATGTACGATATTTTAAATGTATTAATGATATACAGATATTTGTGTTATCTATCTAGTTACATATTTATCATTTGCGAGTACTATTCTTTTATATCGGCGAAACAATTTGCTAATCTGTACTAGTTGATAACGTTATCACAAACAATTAGATTGAAAGATTGAGAACAAGCTTCTGGGTTACACATTTTACAAAATAATTTGTATCTTCAATCGAAATTGTAGGTATTATTTTGATATTGTTCATTTTCCCCCTCTACTCTTTTTACCAGGTGAAAAAATCATTTACTGTTCATTCATCCTTCAATGCCTGCATACAGTGATCTATACAAATAAATAAAATTGGAGTGTCTGTTTGTAATGTTAAAATAACCGCTTTTTGCTAAATGCATATGTATGTTTACACGGTACATATGCCAAAATAACATTTTTTACAATTTTTGTCTGTCTGTCTGTTTGTTCCGGGTAATCTCTAGAACGGCTGCACCGATTTCGACGGGACTTTCACTGGCAGATAGCTGATGACATAAGGAGTAATTTACTTTTTTTAGACTAGCTTCGCCCCGCGGCGTTGCCCGCGGTTATAACAACAAACGCGGGTAACACCGCGGGTCTCAGCTAGTACTAAATACAACTGTAAAGTGGTAAAAATGAGAATGAAAAATAGAGTGAAAGTTGAAATCATTGTCACTGTCTCTATTAATGCTGGATTTGCATGACAGCATAATAGTCTGTCACCATCCCTATTCATCTCGAGAGTGTCGTAAGAGCCGACTAAAGGAGCAAACTACGGGGGACAACAGCAATGCAAAGAGAAGAAAAACTTGACACAAACCCTATACCGACCCGTCTACCCAGCTTTGTATAGTAGAACAAAACCTCCTTTCTAAGGAGAGGCTTATGTCCAGCAGTGGAGTGTTAGAGACTATTAATGAAGGATGATGATGATGATGATAATAAATGCTAGAATAAATAAGTTAGACCGTTTGTTTCAGTACTTTTTATAGAATGACACTGCATCTATACACATAAATGATCTAAGAGTTCTTCTACACGCTTTAAAATTGGGGAGAGAGTTTGTGTCATACTTTCTTTTTCTCGTAATTTACGATGCATATTGAAAAGTAAAATAATTTCGTGCTTGGTTTTGTTGGCTTTTTCGACATTTTTCGCAAAATGTCAGTAGCGATTGACAAATTTAATTCGATGTAAGAATCAGTTTTTTTATTTTTATCACCTAGTACATGAAAATCATAAATTTTATTTTCATGCTAAGAGATTCTGGTAGACCTGGTTATAATCTATATACTCGTATTTAAAATAAACGTTAATGAAAATACAAAATTATTGTTTAATATTTTATATAAAATATTTTTTCTTACATTTATTTAATGTTGCACTTATACGTATAATAATATACACATAATATACATAATAATATAATAATTTGTTTATAAAATTTGTATTGAGATAGTTTATATAATCTGTATAATGTATTAGAATAGATTGATAGAAGGTAACATCACATTTATGAGAAATTTGGTAAACTTTAATTTTATATAAAAGCACTCCAGAAACTTTAATATTTTTAAATAACTGACACGATAAGCTTTGACTTCTATGTTCAATTAGAATTGTATATTAGTTTATTTTATTGACTTTTATAGTAAAAAAATTAAACATAAAAATAATAAAAGGAATGATTTACAATTGAAATTCATCCATCAGGCACTCTTTTATATGTATAATACAGATATAGTATAATACAGATATAGTCCTTAGAGTATTATAATATATAAATAGAGACACACTTCCAGAACATGAATGTGACATGTCTATGGCTATTTAAAGTTCCTCTATCTCGTTCCTTTCTGGTACTCGGAATATCATGCCTAAATTAATGGGTTTGAACAACTATTTAAATAAGTAATACAAGGAAGACTGACCTAAAAAAGATAGTATTTTGATCTCACTTGGAAAATATATTTAACCTTGCATTTGGTAGGACTCAATTCCGTTTAATGAATGTTTGCGATACTTTTTCTACCACCAGACGGCGCTTCGTATGCGTCAGGTCCAAACAGCTGTCAGATAGCACAGATTCTTACCGAACGTATAATTTTTTAGTGAAATTCTATGTATTTGGAAGTGTTATTGAGTTTATTATGGATTACGGCGGATTACAGAGAAAGGTTGCCGAACTGAAGATTGAGCTCAAAAAGAGAGGCTCAAAAGTTTTATTTGCACACAGAGGCATAAAAAAATAGAGGCAGCAACAACACTGTGGCATTTTAGAAAACAATATTCTTTTTGTAACGTTTTTAAGAATGAATAAAGCAAAAAAATGATCGAAAAATACAAATCATGTATGTGCTTTGACAGGTGGTTGGACCTTTTTTTTTTTTTTTTTTTTTTTTTTTTTTTTCCGTGCGGAAATCCCCTCGGATACCACCTGTCGGTGGCATGTCGGACACGAACCGACTAAAACCGCACGCCTTCGCCGGGTACTAATAGCCGGGGAACCAGGTATACCCTAGAAAGGAAGGCCCTGGTGCCCCGACATACCTCGGGTCATCTACAGACGAGTAGACGACCCCCGCCCCGTGTGGGAACCCCATGTTCCCTGTGCTCCCTGGAAGCGAGCGCGCTTCGCAACGCGCTCGCCGCCACCCCGGCCTGCTTCTGCTAGGGTGACAGATGGCCTCACCTGTCACCCCCAGGCCTGCGCTTATGGAGGACGGAGGTCGTTCTGCGACCTCCGGCGCCTGAGTCGCCTGCGCTGCCTGGCCCGTGCCCGGGCCTGGCGGGCCGGGAGAGTTCTAAACCTCTCCCGGTCCCGCTCCGCCGTCTCCTTCGCGAGCATAACTTGCTCGCAGAAGGAGACGGCAGAGTTCCACGCACTCTCGCTCCGCACGATAGCCGCAATCAGGCTATCGAGCGAGAGAACTCCCACTCCGATGGCCGCCACGAGGTCTCGCCTCTGCTCAACCCACGCCGGGCACTCTGCCAGCGTGTGGAGAGCCGTGTCCACGGTCTGGCCATCGCAGTGGTGGCACTCAGGCGTTGGCTCCTTGCGGATCAGACACAGGTGATCTCCGAAACATCCCTTCCCAGTGATCACCTGCGTCAATCGGTATGAGAGGGTCCCGTGACGCCTCTCGAGCCAATCCTCCATAACGGGTCTTACCGCCGCAATGACGGCGTGCCCAGCGCTCGGTTGCCCGAGTCGTTCCCTCCACTCCCCTATGATGACCTGGCGGAGTTGGGATTTCCGGTCATCGATTTCTCGAATCTCGGGGCATCGACCCAACTCCTGCGCCTCCTTGCGCCACTGATACAGTGCCGCAAGGGCTCTCGCCTCCAGGTCCCATGGTGGAGTTCCGGCCAGGAGACTCGCCGCCTCAAAGGAGATCGTGCGGTACCCCCTTATGATCCTGATGGCCAGCATTCGCTGCGGTCGTCGCAGTATCGCGACGTTGCTGGCCTTCAGGGCCCCCGCCCATACTGGGCACCCGTAAAGGGCCATGGACCGCACAACCCCCGAGTAGAGTCTCCTGAGGTGGTTGGACCTGACGCTACAGTGCTGCCATCTCACGTGGAACATTTCAGAAAACCCTCATTAATTAATTATTACCGGAGATCGCTTGGCGGTTGAATTTCTACCATTTTAAATTTTCCTCCGAGCTTTTTTACCAAACCAGGTAGGGGTCAGCTTTAAGTCCACTACTATACCGCTGAACTTTGATTTTCTAAGGGGAACGACTTCCATCAGACCAACACAACCCAAGTACTAGGCGATATCAAAGTTCTGTGGAAAGACTGTTGTCGGACTTTTTATGGCTCCAATTACTTGTAACGATTGCCATGGATATTCGTATGGCAACCGGAACCGAAAACGATCTAAGTGGCTTGCAATGGGAGAGGCCTATGTCCAGCAGTGGACTGCGATAGGCTGATGATGATGATGAACCGGGACCGATAGCTAAACGTGCTCTCCGAGGCATGGAGGGTCTCAGTGTTCTAAGAATGATCATCCATAGACAGACCTGGCTAGGATTGCTTTACTTTGCAATGTGTTAACCTAGTCGGTTACCACTTAGCCACGAGCCCCTCTTCGACCATTTCGATTATCTTGTTTTAATTTATCGACCAGTATATCTCGATCCGTATAGTCATAGATGTAACAAATGAGCACAAACTCATATTATTTAAAATTTTATAACATTTTCAACTGCTCAGATATAAATTTATAGTATTCCAGGTATATTATTCTTCCGTGTGTCATATTTGTTTATATACATATTTAAATTACCATTCATTACTTGTAGTAGGCTTGTTTTTTCATATAACATAACGTGATTATTTAAAAACACGAACAGTTTCTGAATTTGCTATTCGCTCTTTCAAAGTAGGTGTATTCCTGAAACAAACGACTGTAGGTTAATTTCAATAGTTATTTATATTATATTAATAGTAGCGATAACAGTCTGCTTCAATTTTAAGTACCTAGGTACCCTGTTGTAATGTGATGGTGAGATTGATCGAACTGTACAGCATCGAATTAATACGGGATGGATAAAGTGGCGGCATTTAACGGGAACAATTTATAACCCCAGTTTCCCCTTAACACTGAATCGATAAATTTATAAACCTATCATCAGACGTGCCGTCCTGTATGGTTCTGAAAGTTGGCCCATTAAAGAGAACGGATGAGACACAACTAAACGTAGCCGAAATGCGAATGCTGAGATGGATGTGTGGTGTGACTGGGATGGACAAGGTTAGGAATGAGTATATACGAGGGAGTCTAAAAGTAGCGCCTCTGGATGAAAAGTTAAGAAGTAATAGGTTATCTTGGTATGGACATGTCATGCGGAGGGATGAGGAAAATGTGGCGAAGAAAGTTTTAGGTATGGGAGTTGAAGGGTACAAGAGAAGAGGAAGACCAAAGACAAGGTGGATGGACTGTGTGAGTGAGGATATGGCTAGGAAGGGGGTAAACAGTGAGATGACGCATGATAGAGTAGAATGGAAGAATCATACTTACTGTGCCGACCCCAAATAAAATTGGGAAAAGGGTAGGCAGATGATGATTACTTTTAACTAAATTAGCTTTTTTAAATTACTGACTTTAATACACCTTTACCATGATGAACTGTAAAAAACTGTATTCCTCATTCCTTAATTTATAATTCTTAGCCGTTTAATTTTTTGAGTTAAGCATACGCAGACGGCCTTGCGATTCTCACACGTAACCCGAAGCAGTGCCAAGAACTAATGCATAAGGTTGATAACTTCTGTACCTAGACGGAGGGAATGAGAACAAAACCTAGCAAATGCCATTGCCTTTTTCTGGTGGACTACAAAGGACTACATCTATGAACGAAATACTCGTAGTAGGCTTTAATAGTCTACTGCTAGACATAAGCCTCTTCTTAGAAAGGAGGTTTTGGCCTACTATACCACGCTAGCCAGACGCGTTGGTACAGGATTTGTTTCAAGTTTTCCTACTCTTTGCAGTACCCTGCGTAGTTTGCTCCTTTAGTCGACTCTTTTTACACCCACGGGATGAACATGGGATGTGACATTCTATATTCACACAGATTCTTTAAATATAAATAGGACTAAAAGGAAACTAATAAATAATTTTCTTAATCGGTTCATAAATAACGGAGTTTTTGATCCCTCTTCGTTACTTTTAAACCTTTTTCACTAAATAAGTTATATCCAAGCAGACAAGGTTCTTATTTTATTAATAAAATCTTAATTACCAAAAGGAAGCCAGCAGCTAAGAGAAGAGCCTTGTGTTTTGGTTGTACAGCGACGTTTGGCATATCCACTGTAGTTGTGAAGCTCACCAGCTCAGTGTCCCAAGCGTGGACTATCCTACCCATCTCGAGTAAGGAGTCACCAGACATTATCTATAATCATTATCATTGTACCGTTATATAAGCCTAAACAATAGTAATGGTTTTATTAAGTCTGAAATAAGAAGAATCATTTAATTAGTAGCATTTGTGCAAGGGGAATAAAATTAGCTTTTAAACTTTTTCCGGAACATCCCCGAAGCTCATATTTTTTGGCACGATCGATTGAAAGAAATGCGGTCTTTTGGGTATTCTCATATTCGGTTCTCTTTTTTAACACATTCACACAACGCCATCTAGTCCCAAACTAAGCAGAGCTTGTACTATGGGTACTAGACATGTAACTGATTTAGATTCATACACTGTGTTTTTTCCTTTTGACAAAACTTTAACCCATATATTCTGCACTTTATTTACAGTATTTTCGTACTATGTTTTTAAATTTTAACTGTCGTTTATTGAAACGTGATATCTGTTATTTCATTTTTTGTTATTACTTTCAGCACACACGTTATATCCTTTTTACCCACGACAGCACGGAGAAGGTATATGCGTTTAGGGTGAGAGATGTCTGTGTGTTTGTTTGTGTATTGTTTGTTTGTTTGTGAGTTTAAATAATTGACCAAAGAATATCCGTCGGGAGCTGCCATCTCTATTTCAAATTTCAACAATAATGAAGATATCCTGTGTTACATGATGTCGTCGTAAAAAATCTTCAGTAATTATATTATTATTCACGTTACTATAAAACTTCAGTTCGTTTAATGGCAGCCCCGGCGGATATTCTTTGGTTATTTATTAAGTTCATAGTAAGTTGAACATGTAATTTATTATTGCCACATCTAAGTATATCTTCGAAAAACAAATAGGCACGTAAGGAAGTGCTATGCTCAGTTGTTCATATTTGCGACTGACTGACTGACTTTGCGAGAGATCAACTCTATTATAAAAAGCTTTTTAAGTTTCGTTACATAATCTGATTAAATCTAGGGTTTTCAAATTCTTTTATCCTTTTTCAATTAAGTTTTAACCGTAATGGGCTTTTTCAAAATTTTTAATTTTGCTTTTTATTTTGTAAATACATACATATTTTTTTTCAAACCACACCAGATCAAACATTAAATGTGCATGCACATAAATGTTTAACTTGAGCGGGAATCGAACCCGCGACCTTTGACGTAGCAGTCCGTTACACAAACCACTACGCCATCCGGTCGTCTCGTATTTCTATTATTAGGTTCGGTCTCAGAGTAGACTTCGTGATCAGTGGTCACTTACTCTTTCCATGTGTTTTTCTTTTTGCTTAGAAAATACTCTTTACTGAAATTGTTGTTGCCACGACAATATATGGACAACAGCGTTGAACAAACTAATCAGGAATTTATCTATGACGTTGTCTGTATCATCTGTGTCCTCTCTCTGTATTTTCTGTTCCTGGTGCGTAACGAATATACAGTACACGTGAATATATTTCTTGATACTCACTCGGAACACCGACGAAATCAATGCACTCCGCCTAAAAACTGCAGGTCCTTCTATGACGAACAACACTCGGTCACTCGCGTCTCGCACCAGGAAAAAAGGCACCATCCACGTCCACTGTTGTTGGATGCGACCCACGGGGTCACCTGGAGGCACTGTGACCGTCATCTCCTGTAACACGTTTATAATTCTTCATCACATCGTCACTACACGGACATTATAATTCTTGGTGCCTACATTCGACAATTATAGTATGGGGCCGCCGACGAAACTGTTTTGTCTTCTCTTCTGTATCTACTAAATACAGAACAGAAGATTTCTATCTAAATAAATGTTATCGTTTTAGATTTCGAAACAGTCTTACGCTAGGATATTCTATAGGATATCTTTGGTCCAGATGTCTTAATAACAGCTGTGCCCGGATGCTTCCTATATCAGGCGCAGAGTGGCACACCGTGTGGTTTTAGTCGGTTGAATTTCGATACACCGCCCCGCCGCAAACCCACTGGGATGACGGCCCGAGGGGGTTTCAACACGTAAAAAAATATCGTACAGAAGTATCTTTACTCAAAAGTAAGTTGAAGTGGTGTTACGTGTAACTGAAATGTTGTTTTAAAGGTTTATAAGTTTACGTGAACTTATTTTTTGTTCCATCTTTTGTTTGATTATAGACGCATTTGCGATTAGCTTATTAGATAGTGTCTGTCTACACAACGGTTTACATAGGCAGCGCCAATTTTATAAACAATGTAATTATATGTTAGGTAACTTTGGACAATTACTAATTATGATCGTTGAACTTAAATTAAAAAGTGTAATTCTTTCCGATTTAAATATCAGACTAAATTATGATCATTATCATCATCGGTTTTCAACATTCACGTACATAACTCATTTCATATAGATCTGCTTATCTTCTCATGTTAGCTTATAGCACGAGTAGTTTGTTTCTTTTTGCTAAGTGAGATTACAAATTGAAATGGTACTTCAACTGAGCAGTCTTATAACGAAATATCGATGAGTTCATCATCCTTTCATATGCTATATTTTTATATTGGTTAATTTTAGTATTGCCTGATTATTGTTATCAATCTAGTGATGCAACTTGTTTTGTTACGATTATATCCTTTTTTACAACATTAATATCTACCGAATTATCTTTTATCGTTGGTTTTAACGATTTTAACATGTATGATTCATTTGTATTTCAAATTTTAAATAAAGAAAAAAAGCGTTAGAAAAAGGAGGAAAATCTAATGAACATATATATACAGACACTCAAGCCTCTATCCTTAACACGGTATGCATATACGTACATTAAACACCCTAATTTGACTAACTATAATTTTTGTCCGTCTGTCTTATATTGATATTTCAATTAATCACTGTAGATTACCAGGAAAGTATAAATATTGAAATATTAAGGGGCATGCTTATTACTTTAAACCGCGCACTTATAGATTTACAGATGGGATTCGGATTATACAGAAAAAATAAAGGCAGCTAAAAGCAAGAACTTTTACGGATGGATCGGGAATGCAAAAAAGCTAGACTTGTTTACATTCTAAAGTCGCTTGCCGCGTAGTCCTCTAACTCCTTAAAAGGTACCTTACTTGTAATCTGCAAGGAAAACAGCAAGATGACGAAGCCAGTCTTCTGTGTAACACCAGAGCCTCTTGCCTAGTGTTATCATGAAGGCGCATGACGAATGCTCGCCCCGTGCCACACAGACATCGCTGTGTAGAGGTAGAAGTCTCGTTGGCGAAATATAAGGCTTCACCATTAGGCACTCGTACAATGTATCTGTTTTCTGATTCGATTCTTGATGTTACTACAAAATTAAAAATCATTAATAAGTGAACGTACGAGGGCGGGTCAATAAGTCCGTGACTTTTTGAATTTCTGACCTCTTTACTTAAAAAGCAACACTACTCCTGTCAACAGGCATCTGTCAGTTGACTCCTGTCAAAATTTGAACTTGCTGCGTCAGTTAGTTTGTGTTTGACAGCTATCTTTATCAGACTACCCAGTAATTTGAGGAAAAAATGGAAAAAAGTGAATTTCGTGTGCTTATTAAGCATTATTTTTTGCGAAAAAAAACCATTACCGAGACCAAGGCTAAGCTTGATAAATACTATGGGGACTCTGCACCATCGATTTCAATGGTAAAAAAGTGGTTTACTGAATTTCGTTGTGGCCGTACAAGCACTGAAGATGCCGAACGTCCTGGACGCCCAGTTGAGGTCTCTTCACCCGAAACAATCGAAAAAATTCACGATATGGTGTTGGCCGACCGAAGATTGAAAGTGCAAGAGATTGTGGAAGCCGTAGGGATCTCGCATGGCTCAGTGGTTTCAATTTTGAATGATCACTTGGGAATGAGAAAGCTTTCCGCAAGATGGGTGCCGCTATTGCTCACAGTCGACCACAAACGCAATCGTGTAACAACTTCACAGGAAGGTTTGGCGTTGTTTAATCGCAATATGGAGTAGTTTTTGCGCCGTTTTGTAACCGTGGACGAAACATGGATCCATCACAACACACCAGGGACCAAACAACAGTCAAAACAGTGGGTTTCTAAGGGTGAATCGGCGCCAAAGAAGGCCAAGGTGGGTTTGTCAGCCAATAAAGTTATGGCGACTGTCTTTTGGGATGCACGCGGGATAATCCACATTGACTACCTTCAAAAGGCATGAACAATCGATGGGGAATATTATGCCAACTTATTGGACCGATTCAATGACGATTTGAAAAAAAAACCGACCTCATTTGGCCAAGAAAAAAGTTCTTTTCCACCAAGACAATGGAAGGGTGCACACATGTGCAGTTACCATGGCAAAAATCCATGAATTGGGCTATGAATTGCTCCCTCATCCGCCCTATTCTCCAGATTTGGCTCCGAGTGACTACTTCTTGTTCCCAAACCTGAAGAAATGGCTTGGTGGAAAAAGATTTGACTCCAATGATGAAGTCATCTCGCAAACAAAGGCCTATTTTGAGGACCTCGACAAATCATATTTTTTGGAAGGGATAAAAGAATTGGAGAAGCGTTGGACAAAGTGTATAGAGCTCAAGGGAGACTACGTTGAAAAATAAAATGATTTATTTATCAAAAAATCTGTGTTTTATTCCAAAAGTCACGGACTTATTGACCCGCCCTCGTATTACGTAATTTTGTCACGAAATACAACTCGCTTCAAGGATTGTTTTTATCTAGTTTTTGCTTTAATTTTATTCTTAACTAGCTGAGACCCGCGGTGTTACCCGCGTTTGTTATTATAACCGCGGTCAACGCCGCGGGGCGAAGCTAGTCTAAAAAAAGTAGCCTAAGTTACTCCTTATGTCATCAGCTGCCAGTGAAAGTCCCGTCAAAATCGGTCCAGCCGTTCCAGAGATTACCCGGAACGAACAGACGGACAGACAAAAATTGTAAAAAAATATATTTTAGCATATGTAAAGTGTAAACATACATATGCATTTAGTAAAAAGCGGTTATTTTAATATTACAAACAGACACTCCAATTTTATTTATTTGTATATATATCTTATCCATCCAACCACAATGTGCCACAGCAAAGCGTGACAGGGTACAGCTTATACTTTTTTTTTTTTGATTTAATTATGATGTAGCAAGAATTCACAACAATAATTAATATAATCTCGTCAAATTTAATTGGATGCGATCATCATAAAACTTTGCACAACATGGTTAACCTACCTTTCAATAGAAAGAATCATTGTTTCTAAAAATTTCAAAACTACTTTCTACTGTAGTAGTAGAAAGTAGTTCTGTAATTTTAACTTTCTTTCTTTCTACTACTTTCTCGATGGATTATCATATCTGTTTTTCTTGTTATCTATGCCATAAATCCGTCGAGTATTTAATAAATACTGAAATATGACTCATAATATGTAAATCCATACTTCCATACATTTATTTTTGTATTGTTATTAGGTATATTATAATGGTGAAACTGAGTTTTTTTGTTACGCTTTCACGCATATACCACTCAACCGGTTTTACACACATAGAAAGCTACATTATTCGTGAAATTACAAATAAAAATAAAAAATGAATAAAAAATACATAGAGTATTATTTTTATTATTGTTCCCGAAGGATATATTCATTGACAAAGCTCTACTAAGACAACATTAAAACAATTGACTTAACTAAATTGATTAAACAAATGACAGATTTATTTATTTTTTATATTATTTAATTGATTTTTTATTTTATTTTTATACATTGACGAATCCGGAAAAACGGTTCATTCATATAAATAATACACTCATATCAAAATCTGCTAAGGGCTTGTGTAGACGATTGCAAGATATTAAAAGGAAGAAAATCATCATCATCACCATCACCAAATCAATACACGTCAATGTTTTGATCATTCTCTAATTTCCGATCCGTTCCTTAGTTCAACGTGCGGTTAGAGAAATTATACTTACAGTCATCTAATTCCACCGTCTGTTGGATGAGCAGTTTGCTGACTCCAATGAGAAAATCTAATCCTTGGACGAGTATGAATTGGCCGCGAGGATTAGACTGCCAGTCAATTGTCGATACCGGCAGTTGTATATCACCTGTAAGTGTTCTTTTGTTATGGCAATGTATTTATTTATTGTTGTTTTTGATGGTAGCTCTTCGCGTGTTGCGGCGCAGCCCGACCACAGTCGATTTAATAATTTATAGACGTATTCATTTTATTATTATTGCACCACCAGTAAATAGTTTAATAATAATAATAATAACCTCACACATCTCAGTGCTAAACTAGGCAGAGCCTGTTCTATGGTAACTAGACTGCTGATAAACATACTTATATACTTATTTCTAAATACATACATATCATAGATATATTACACCTAAATACAGAAATATGATCGTGATTATTAAACGGATATTTGTTCTGATGGGAATCGAATCCACGGTCTTTGGGTTAGCAATCAGCATCACTAACCACTAGACCAACAGGCCAGTCAAAATGTACCATAAATATATCTTGTTAAATAAGCAATTGTTTGTCGGAAGCACCGTATATGTTACAGCCCGCCCACGTGTATATATATAGGTAGGTAGCTCAGTGGTGGTTGTTTGGGTTCCGGTAACCTCTCTCACTCGGTGAAAAGCAACGTAAAAATTATTAACACCGGTTTTCTGTAAGGCCGAAGCATGACTCAGCTAAAACATTAGCTTATACTTCACAATTTAGCCTTTTAAGTTATGTCCCTTAACTGCCTCGCCTTTTAATTTTCTAACAATTTTCCCATATTTAATCTTAAAGTGACGACTACCAAACACTATTTCGTCCCCTACTGTGATGCAGAAAGAAGTATATGTTCGTAAAGTGATATATTTTTTATTCTTACTATTAATGTTGGCAGCATTTTGTTTGCATATAATTTGACTACGAAATAGGGCCCTATTATTAACTGATGCCATGTGTGTTGGTAGTTAGTCATAAGATTACATGTGATCTACGCCTTACAGTTTTTTCATTAGAAAGGCATTTTGCTATGGTCACTAACTCTTTCATAATAAGCGTTTAGCGCTTAATAGATTTTGTTCCTACAGCCGGGTTATCGTAGACCTTATAGAATTACGGCAGATAATAATTATTACATGCGTAACACTTATAAGGAGAGGCCTATGTCCAGCAGTGGACTAGTATAGGCTGTTGATGTGATGATGTGACATGCGTAACACCTATTTTAAGTTCTCAAAAGTCAGTACCATTACCTTGCTCAGTAATTATTGTCTGATTAAAGAGGTTATTTAAGAGGCTCTATGTAATCACAGTCACAGAATACCGAAAATCGTTTTTTTTACTCACCAGATGAAGGTTGCACTCTTATTACTACATCTCGCTGCATTTCAATTTCATTTTCTGAAAAATAATTATATTTACAGAACAATTTATAATGTCTTACTTACTCAAACTCAGTGATTCTCTCAAGCAATTGTGTAGAAACCCCCGTAAGTTATACTCTGACCAGTTCAGCATTGTATTAAGAATATGAAGTCTCGTTATAAGGTCCCGTAACCGGCGAACGTGTATGAAAGGTTTGATGAATGTGACCTGTAGGTACGAGCTGTATGCCAGGATCGTCGAAAATGGCATTATATTGTCTCTGCCTACCCTAGACGGGTATGAAGCGCGAGTGTATAAGAAAGATGTTAGTGTTATGTTGCTGTTATAGTAATAATAACAACTTGTAACACCTCAGACACTGCAGAACTAGTTAGAACTTGTACTATGACAATCAGACTGCTGATAAACATTCTTTATATTACTGAATTCATACGTTTTATAGATAAATTACACCCAGATACACAAAATATGATCAAGCTCATTGCACGACTATTTGACATTTGTGGGGTTTTATAACGCACGATCTCAAGCTTAGTACCTAGTCATTGTTTTTAGATTTTTCAACTTTACATTAAGACTTCAGCAGGAATTTTTATATTCTTAGCAATTTGACTAAAACAAATTTGTATGTCATAGTAGGATCATAGTAGTAGGATTTGACAAAACAGAGATTTTTGTGTGTGTTGATCTATGACTTTAGAGTCTACATAAAAGACGATTTCAAACAATTTTGAAAATTTTATGAAATAAAGAGAGTTTGAGTTGAGTTTGAGTTTGAGGAGATTGTTATTGGACACGACGCATATCCCTAATATAATATATGAAACTTAATAACAAACAAGTACCTATTACTTCAGTGTATCGAAAAAAGTGAAAAAAGTGTATTTGTTCAAGTATTACATTTATTGTTTTATTGGATTGATTTTTATTGATAAAGTATTTGATGTTTTATTCCCATGAGGGACCATTCGCAATAGTGTCAGGTTAACGCCTAATACCGGCGCGGAAAGTCGCTTAACCAGTTTGATGAAAGTTAGGCAAGCATCATCGAAATACACATGCAAGTAAAGTCGTTTATCTATACTAATATTATAAAGCTGAAGAGTTTGTTTGTTTGTTTGTTTGAACGCGCTAATCTCAGGAACTACTGGTCCGATTTGAAAAATTCTTTCAGTGTTAGATAGCCCATTTATCGAGGAAGGCTGTAGGCTATATATCATCACTCTAAGACCAATAGGAGCGGAACACCAATGAAGAATGTTTAAAAAACGGAGAGAATTTATTACTATTGAGAGACGCAGACGAAGTTGCGCGGGTCAGCTAGTCCTTTATAAACATGAACACCGCTTACGAAATTTTTTATTCCAATATTGGGGACATTAGCCCTTAATTAATCTTATAATTTCCTTATGAATTAAGTATTCCCCTATAGTACTAATTCTCTATCTATTGCACAACTATCTAGATAAAATATTATTATTACCTTCGGTTGCAGCTGGATTGTCTATACCTCTCACTTCGTCACCACGATTATTGTCAACCATCTCAAAACTATTTTTTTTTACAGTTTCCTGTAACTTTTAACGACAGGTGTTACTTGTTGTTAGTATGTCAGCAAACTACGTTATCAGTGTATTTTATTCATTCCCTTATCGTCTATCAGAAATGATAGGTCCGTGTTATTATCGATGTGTACTGGCGCACCGCATCGATACTTGTGTTATGTATTTATCGCTTTAGTAATTACAATGTGCGATAACAATTAAGTAGGTGATTTATAATAATTTAAATCAAACGGTATTTTTCGACTGTCTAAAACATAGGCTAATGATAATACAGCTACAGCAAAAAATGTGTTTATGAAGTTTTTCATATGAGTATTAAAAAAGAAAATTGTTTCAGTTAAGGACATAGGAACGTATATTTTGTTTATAATCGTTATGGGATGGGCAGTAGACATGGAAATTATTGGTACTTTTAAATAAATGAATATGTCATTTGATGAAATGATTGGTTTTAGTCACAGCGATTTCACATGTGATTGTGATTTCGTCATAGACAAAGATAAATGGCATCAGAATCAATCAAAATTCCTTTGATCTTTTGCAAGTCTTGCGCTAGCGTAATAATAATAATTAAGTAGCAGTAGTCTTGTAAATCAGTCACAGGTATTATGAAATGTTTTATCACACGTAATTGTGATTTTATTCCATCCCTTTCTCGGGTGCACCTGGTTCCCCAGCTACTTGTACCCGAGACGGTTTTTTGTCGGTTCGAGTCCACCACGGTGGTATCTGAGAGGATTGCAAAAAAGGGGATTGAACATTTTACAGACTGAGTGAGTGAGGTTGTAAGCTAGCGAGCGAGCGAGTGATATAATATATAAATAATGATAAAAGCGCTATCTAGATCCAGCCTAAAATAGTCCTGGCTGACACGGTGATACACAGGTACTTGTTCAACTATCCCATTGGTCAAGTGGTTGTTGATCCAGACTGCCAAAGCTTCGAGGGTTCCATTCCCATCCAGGACAAATAATTTTGTGATGAGCACGATCATTTGTTCCGTGTCTGGGTGTAATTTATCTATATTATGAATGTATGTAGTACTAAGTATGTTTAACATAGCATAGACTCGATAACCACGTGTGAGATGTCTCAAGTTATTACTATTTATGGTTATATTTTTGAAAATCCGCACACGTTTTCAGATATTGGTATATGATACAATGACATGACACACTCATACAGTAATGCAACGTGCATGTCGTTCATACAGATATTTGCATGTAGCAGGCATCGAATCAATGACAGCTTAAACACATGCATGCTGTGTGCATAAAGATTTTTTAAACTAACAACTAGCCGAACTGACAGCTCATCTCTTCTCAAAAAATTCAATAAATGTGTTTTAAATTTATTGAAACACATGTCACCTCTTCTGTTTTAGTAGGCATAGATACCATAACTATCGATTATTGTACTTGTTTCCCAACCAATAAAGAATAAATAAAATAATACACTCTTTTGTTTCATCATTTTTGCGTAACTGTTGATATGCGGTTATTTTATTGGAAAAAGAAAAAGGAAAATTCCATTGAAACAAAGTTTATTGAAAACCATTTATATTTGGGTGTTAATAATTACTTGAATAAAGTGAAAACATTCAAGTTGTTAAAACCGGCATAGTAACCGTACAGTATTTTCTCATAATAAATTACATTCATATATATTCTATCTAATTTTCATCACTCCAACTAACATTTATTGTAAATGTCGAGATAAAACATTGTAAATTTCGCATGGGAAGTTGTAAACAACGCGGTCAGATTGTGATACAAAGGACACATCTTGAAGCCAAATTTTGTTCGGAAGACTTAGAGGTCGAGTGCTATACCCACTCATTTAAAGACACTCGTGACGTCACACGATGTGCTGACGTCACTTGTGTAAACGAAACGTTTTATTGTCCTAGTTTAGTCTAAAGTGCCGCGCTAGACCTAATATAATTTATGTCGCTCAATTTCTCAGGCCTGATGTTAGTGATAGGGCGTCTGACAAAGCAATACTGTTTGAATCTATCTTCGTTTCCAGTTCTCTATAACCCTAAATATATATTTAAATTAAAATAATAGAAAATATGGATATAAATAAATAGGTACACATCGATTTGAATGTACCCGTATGATATATTTTTTCAATACACAGGAATATACTTCCTTTATAATAGTCTCATATCTTGAAATTACATTAATTATACATGTAGTATTTTGAATAGCTTCAATACTTACGTGGACACACTTTAATACAAATATATGTAAGTAAATACTTAACAACAATAAAATTACCATCTTAATACATTCATAAACATTTCGATTTACTATAAACCTCATACCTACTCCTGCCACCCGGTTCCACCTTGAAATTCAATCGTTAAACCATATCTAGCAAAGTTCATACAACGTTCAGTATAATATAATAATATTCAAATTACGTTTAACAATGAAAGCGTAGAAATATCGCATAAACAACACTAGCCGATGTAACTATTGATATCAACTTTCTGTGAACCTTACGTCTATATTCCTACGGGTCTATGGCTGGTTAGACTCGTACGAATACAATAACAAACTTTTAACTAGGTAATACTAATCGTGAAATGATACATATTAAAGTGATTAGATTAAAAAAAGTACATTATTTCCTCAGATGACAAGTATAACTCGCAAAGTGATTTGCCTTCGTCCATTATAATTTGACAAAGGCTTTTGTTTCTTTGGCTTTTGCAATGATCATTTTTTTAGCCCGTCTATCGCAGAAAGGCGCGCTGCCAACCGATGTTGAGTTTGAGCGTAGCAGGCAGACAAGGACTGGCCTCACATTCACCATCCAGCTCGTCAGCAAGACTATCGTGAAGCTCCCGAAGCGCCATGAGAGTAGAACGTGCCGCTCGTTGACAACCCATGTCACCTTCGCACGTGGTATCAGCTTCCGAAAGGAAAACTAGGTCGCATGTTGTCGGTGGAGCCTCGCCCTGTATACACGATAGTCGTTAGATTTCTTGCAAATATAAATAAATATTTAAATGAGTTTTGTTTCAAAGTAGATATGTAACAAAAAAAAAATAGAAAACAAAGTTACATTTGTCTATCCAACAGAAGTAAATATTACTCAACTTAACCTTTAAACATCAAAATAGGTTGTATTTTTGTTTAACATACGCATACAAGAACTGAAATCCACGTATGTTAAGCCGAGGACAAAATCTAGAGCCTTACAATAAGCATAAAATTTAAAGAATTCAAATCTTACGCAGAGGTAGCAGATTTGGTGTAGACTACAGTGCGGGAGGAACAGTTGTCCCCGATCACCGGCTAATAGATCCACGCCGCGACAACGTTGTACAATTTTCGCTAACACTGGGCAAGATCCCGAGGCACCAACTACAAAATACAAACATTATTTTAGTATTTATATGTTCCTTTATTATATTGATTAATTCATTAACACTAAAGTTACCTGTTGCCATTACAGGTATGCGGTGTCGACCACTTCCACCCATATAACCTTCAGAAAACTGATCTTCCATTTTTCCATTTATGTAATGACCAGCTCCTTGTTCGTCTTCGAAGTCATTACTCCTGTCCTCTCCTTTTTCAAATCCAGGGATTTCATTGTTAATTAATTCTACTTTTTCTTTCTTTACAGCAACTCGCTTGGCTTTGGTTTCATCGGTTGGTATTGGGGCAGGTGCATTAGTTTTTGCCTTTTGGATTTGCAGACTTTGCTTAAATTCTTTTAGAGCTTTTCTCATTTTTTCTAAACTGTAAGCTGCTGCTAAACGCGATAATAATTTCTCTTTCATTTCCTGCTCCTCTTTTGAATCAAGATCGGCTCCTACATTTGAATAATGTAGAGCTTCATCAACGATTAGTCCTTCCATATTTCTTAGTTTTTTATCAATATTATCTAGTTTGGAGTCGTTATCAGTTGCCGAACTTCTTTTTTCGTCTTTCTGGCTTGAGAGATGAGCTCCGTCTATTTGAATTTCAGATTCATCATTTGGTTTGGGCTCCATATAGTTTCTTTTTGCGTTAGTGTGTCTTCGATACGTATTTAACGGATAAATTACTTCCTTGTTAAAAGTATCAAAGTATTGTTTTCTTAATCTGTCTTGGGTGAGATCATTGAAAAAAGTTACTGGTTTTTTGGTCCGTTTGTCTATACCGAAATAATCAGACCAATCAATTGATTTCTTTTTAATATGAATCGGTTTCTCCTTGTCACCATGGTTGTGGTCGTGCCCATGATCGTGATTATGCATATTTTCATGTGCTACTTCCTTTCCAGAAATACCAGGGTGATGGATATTATGACCGTGGTGCTCATGGCTATCGTCGTCAATTATAGCTGTTTTATTCTGTTCATATGTTTTGTTGTGATCTCCAGGTATTATTGGGGGTTTTGCTCCGTGGTCAGGATCATGTTCATGTTCAACGTTATCACTGCTTCGTTTTACTGGTGATTTGATAATTTCGATTTCAGTGTCACCAAATATTTTCGATAGGTCTTTCATAATCTTTGGATCAGTGCCGGCGCTACTACGAAATGTTTTTGATGTTTCACGTTTATTTTGACTTTGCGTAAATCTTTTTTTCTGGGTACTTAAATTGTACGGGCTACTGCTACGTTTAGTGACTGGAAAACGTTTTTCAACTGTATCATATGTATATTGATCTTCATCGTCAGAGGCGCTATCGTCATCCAATGGTTGAAAAGCAATGGCATACTCTTCACGTAGATCGTCTTTATCTTCATCTGAAAGAGTGTATGAATTATAGTTTGGCTCTGCCGATCCCATTTCATTCTTTTGAGAATCGTAATCATATAAAACTGGACGATTAGTTTCAAGCTCTGAGCTTCGTTTTCGTTTAAATGCTATGGGCCCCCAATTATCGGGATAACGTTTCTTAACTACTTTCTCTTTATAAAGTTTGACAACACCTTGTGGGGCAGCCTCAACATTGTTGCCGTGTTCTTTATTATATTTATATTTTGACCAAAGTTGGCCTAAGAGCACCGCATATTCGGCATCATTATCGACATTGTCATCAAGGGTATTATCCTCTTCAGAGTCACTTTTGTCTGTAAACAAATCACGTAATCTTTCATTGTCTGAATGGTGACTCCTCTCACGGAAAGCGGATTCTTTTTTGGTCACTGAATTACCGGAATTCTTCTTTTTTATCAGTTTATATTGATATCTTGGATCTTCATTTGCTAATTTTACGAAATACTTCGGTACAGTTTCATCGTCAAGATCCTCAACATCGACAGGATAATCGGGTTCTGAAAGTGTACATATATGTATATACTTCATACAAAATATAATAAAATGCTATTAAGGTTATAGGTAAAGAGCTCGTTTTTACGTTTAATTCTGGCGACCTTAATGGTACAACAATTGGTAAGAACAATGGTAGAGTAGCCTACAGTAAATACCTAAATAAGCTTGCGGTGGTACAAATTCATAGAGAGACTCGTAGTCCGGTTGCGGTGCAATAGGTCCGTGCATGCGTCCTCGCTGCCGACGCTGAAGCGCTTCAAGTGCACCTCGCAGGGATGAGCCTCCATGATCGGCGCCTGCGCAAGCCACCACACACGCGGTTACAGCCAACAGCCATCTGAGGCCCATAGTACTAGTTGATGCTTCTGAAAAAAATATATAAAAATTATCATTTTACTTATACCTTACAATTTACTTATACGTATTATAAGGTCACCGACATAGCCTACCGGATAAGCAAGATGAAGTGGCAGTGGGCTGGTCATATTAGCCGCACTTGCTTGTTATTGTAAAAACAAACGAGTAAGAGTTTAAAGTCGCGTACGGAAGGTACACTGCAGTGTAGATACTGAAATATCCATAAACATACATAATATAAACCAAAACTGAAATAGTGTATTCAGACCATGATTGTAAGTTTCTGCGTGAAATTCATCCTTTTTTTATAATTTTCAGTATAAAAGAAAGTCAATTTTTTTCTTGTAAGCTTAGATCTTTCGAACTATGCAACAAATTTTAATGCAGTTAATCCATGGGAAAAGACGCGGGTTTATATGTGTAATAAATGCATGTTGTAGTAGAGGAAATACGAGAATTTTAAAGATTTGTAATGTGAAGTCGTAAAAACATGTTTTTGTTTGCTTACATTGCAAACGCTGGCTAAACCTTACGAGGTAAATCAAAACAATGTACCATGGAATTGTATATTTTAAAAAGATCTACAAAAAATCTATGGTATATGGCTATCTCCTAAGGATAACCCTCAGTAACCATTTTCATCTTTTACATATTACAAAAAATAATAGGTAATTTACGAAGCTATTTTGAACAATACAGTACTGTTCCTTATCAAAATAAATTCGTTTGATATCTTGTACATTTAATGTAGATTGAAATTGCCCTTTACAGCATATCTTTTAAATGAATATCTTAGAACATATCAGGGATTTAAAATGAGCGGGAAGAGAGGCCGTCGCGTTAAGCCGTATGTCTGTCCCAGGTGCCAACGGCCCTTAGGCGCGTAGCGTGCCTATAACTGTATATTAAGATATCCTGTACTATAGTCTAATGATAAGAATAATATAATTCATTACTCCACACTAACATCACATCATTATCTACAATGGACAGGTCGCTAGTATATTATTATGATATATAAACCTTTCGTCTAAATAGTATTGTGTAATATATCTAAGAATATTAGACTAATGACAGAGGTCATTATCATTAGCAACTGCATACTCTTTTGCTTGTACGGTACGGTAATAGCACGCTAATAGGACCAATACAGAGGACTTATTTAATGGCCGGGATTCATAACATTTAGTCCTATCTTTTCATCTTCCCTTTGAACTCGAAACACTAAAAATAAATAAATAATATGTTTTATATCATAATTTGGTTGATTTCAATTGGCGAATGCATGACAAAAATAAATAATGATTTAAATATGAAAATTTTTAGCTTTAAAAGTAGACTCCAAAAGTACTGTTAGTTCTTTTCAGGAATCTAACCCGCGACCGCCGAGGTTGCCGTCGAATGCTAAATAGATCAAGTTTGTGTTAAAAATTTATAACGCGTATAATAATCCATACGAGATTGTTAAATACATAATAAATATCACTGGCAAAATATTCTGTAGCACTCTGTACTACAGAAGTCTACGTCGCGCTACGAAAACAATTATTTCTTAGATAAGAATTTAAAAATTGAACACATGTTGTATGCGCAGTTCGCTAAGTTATTTCAGTGGGCATCCCAAAAAGCCAAAAAACTTAGACTCACTAGAACTTACATGGAACAAATATATGTGTGATACCCTAATATTTCCATAACAATATAACTACAGATACAAATTATACCTTATTCTATAATCGAACTTTTGATTTTCGAAATGATCTATTCTTTAGTATATTTCACTTAGGAAATATTATATTTGAAGATAGATGTTGATGGAGTTCTCTTAAAAAAGTCAATTAAGATCAACAGTTCCAATTTATAAATGCTTTACGTCACTCATAGAATACAACGAGAAACGTTGAAGAGACTTAAAGAATACCGTTTCAATGTAGTAAGAATAATAATGAATTATCACAATGTATGTTTTCATCGTTCCTTTTCCCAGCGGGGAAATCCTATTTTGAAGAACATTTATTTTCCTGCCAATCTTTCTGGGTGTGTCTTGAGACATCTTTTGTTGGAACATTAAATGTTATACTTAAGTACACAACAAGGATAATCTTTATTCCTTTTATACATAAAGAAGCTCTTAACTGTTATATTTTTATAGGTCAGTTGATGTCCCCACCGGCCTTGTACAGGACGGGTTTACAGAACTCGGCGACTTCGTGTAACACAAAGTGGGCCTTATTACAGTGCACTTTTAAATGACAGTAGTATACGAATAATAAGAATATTAAAAGTGCTACCTACCAGGGCCAAATCCTTTACCAAGCTAAACTAAAAAAGTAAAGAAATATGAAATGGCGAAAAGTGTTAATCCAAAGCTCTCCGAACACGTTCCCACTTCATTAAAATAGTTTTTCATACTACCCTTATGGTTACCGCATGCAGAATGAAACTGAATTGATATAAGCCATAAGATTTTTTTATAGACACAATAAATAATTATTATGCATACTTCCATACTTATATTATAAATGTGAAAACAAGTTTGTTTGTTACACTTTCACGCCTAAACCACTAAACCCATTTGAAAAATTCTTTTACCAATAAAAAGGTACATCAGCGAGTAACCAAGGCTACTTTTTACTGCAAAAACCGCGATTTTTAAAAGCGGGCGGAGCCGCGGGTGAAAGCTAGTAATAAATAAATGATCGTACTCATCCCACAATTCATTGTCCTGGAGAGAAACGGATCCACAACCTCTGGATCACTCTAAACTAGACCAATAGTATTTAATAGTCTTAGGAACAAAAGCAAAATTTGTCTGAAAACCTTGACAAAATAGTCGATCTTTATAATTAAAAATCTTTAGCGCTTTGTGGAAAACAACATTGTTTCGGAAACAACGATTTCACATCGAGTTATTAAGTACAACAATGTTGTTTTCCTAAAAAATCACAGTAAATTGTCACAATACTCTTTAGTAATTTAATTACTAATTTAGTTTAGCTTTACTCTCGTAAGTATTTATTTCTAAGTATATATTTATTATTAATAAAGTGGGACAAGAGCATGCGGCATCGAAAAAAAGTAAAAGTAAGGTTTTAAAAAGCCATTTCTAAAAAAGGCCATGTCCTGAATAAATTTCATTCATAAAGATAATATATGATATACAAAGATCTGTTAGATGTTATAAATGTCTTGACCAGAACTTAAATGGAGTATTTAATGACGTGTCGTAAAATATTAGTGATGATATCGTATAAAATAAATTAGCGCCTAACACTGGGTCATTATATAAACACAGTGTTCAGTGCATCGTGGCGGCCATCGTCTACATTTATAATGTGGGAAAACAATGCCTCATCGCATATGGTGACCCATATAGCTAACGAGTAAACAGTTTACTTGATGGTACCTCCGTCCATGAACACTTGCTACTCATGACTCATAAGTGAGGAGGGGTTAGGCCCTAGCTCCTAACTCACTTAGCCAAATCTAACAAAAGAATTCTCTAACACCAGTATCCTGTGAGGCTTTCTTTTCTGAATCGGCGTGATTCAGAAAAGAAAGCAAAGAAGAGGAAAGCGAAAGTGATTCAGGTAAACTGTTTACTCGTTAGCTCCTTTAACATAAAAAAAATAGACAAATAGAAGAAACATGGGCAATGAAATGTCGTTATAGCAACTTTAACGATCAATATTCAAGATCTTTTTGTTTATTGGCAACCTTAAATACATGACGTGATCAAAACGTCATATAGTCATATACCCCGTCTGGCTATATCATTGATAATGTAGACTGCACGGATGGCGTAGTGGTTTAAGCGGTCGCCACGCTGCTTACTACTACGTTGAGTGTTGTGGGTTCGATCCCCACATGGGACGGCACTTTGTGTGATCCACAAATTGTTGTTCTAAATCTGGGTGTCCTTGTGTCCGTTTCATGTATATTCGTAAAGTTCCCCGCTACACAGGATAAAAAAAAATGTTCTGTACATTACACGATGACATTTAAACAATAAGGTCAGTTTAAGCTATTCATTATAACTGCCTCGGTGGTGCAGTGGAATCGTATACGACTGCTGTGCTAAGGTCTCGGGTTCGATTCCCGGATCGGACCAAATGTTTGTATGATCTGCAAATATTTGTTTCGGAGTTTGAGTGTTTTCTATGTATAATATTTATAATATATAAAAAAAAAGTTTAAAAGTATTCTATCAGTCAATCTAGCTTTCATAGTACAAGCTCTGCTTAGTTTAAAACTAGATGTCGTTGTGTGTCTGATGTCTGAAATACTTATTATTATTGAAATATATGATGTAGAGGGCAAACGAGCAGACATGTTACCTGATGTTAAGTGACTACCTCCGCTCATGGACGCCTGCTGATCAGGAGTCACAAGCGCGTTGCACAGAGCAAAATTTGCTCGATGGTATAAACTATCTCATTGGTATGGTGGCTACAGATTTATAGAAATAAATAAATTAAAAATAATCAGAATGACACAATAAAGATACAATTAATAGTTTTAATATATGAATATACGAAAACTCTTTAGGGTAAACAAATTCAAATAATATAATAAGTTAATTTATATTTAGTTTGTGATTACAGAACCCTAAACTTTTATTGTTTTTCAATACTTTCGTGTATAACGTTTTAGTAATTTCGGTGTGGTGACGGATTAAGAATACGGAGTGTGACTACCCCTATTCATACCGTGGGTGTCGTAGCCGACTAAGGGAGCAAACTACGCAGGACAACAGCACTGCAAAGAGAAGGAAAACTTTACAAACCTTATACCAAACCGTCGTGCCAGCGTGGTATAGTAGGCCAAAACCTCCTTTTTAAGGAGGCCTAGACCAGCAGTGATCTGTTATAGGCGGTTGATGATGATGATGATGATGATGTATAGATCTAAATTTACATATGTTTTTTTTTTCACATTTACACAACGCCATCTAGTCCCAAACTAAGCAAAGCTTGCCCTATGGGTACTAG